TCCATAATGGTTTTTCTAAGTTGAAAAGGTACTAAGTTATCAAATTAGATTGTCCATAACACAATAACCCATCATCATTTTTGGTAACTTAACCACATACTTGCTTTCTTGTTATTAAGAATATTTTGGGGGGGGCAGCAAATAACAACAACAAAACAACCAGATAATACCATAATTACAGTTACTTTATGTAATAACAAGTCTGGGATAGGAAGCTTAAGGAAGTCATCAATAATTTATACTCCGTTTGCCCATGCTTCTTGACATATTGGCTTTCTGTTTTTATTTTGTTTTGTTTTGTTTTTGTTTTATTTGTTGTAGGCTTATTGTCTCACATCTTCAAACTCCAAACCTCACAATTTTATTCAAAATTAGCAAGCAGGGAAGAAAAGTGCTTTCTTATCCTAATCTATATCTTCTTACTGAGATATAAAACAATGCTTGAAGACCCTCTAAAGATTTCTCCTACACCTCATGGACCAGAAAAAGTTCAAATAATTGTGTCATTGGAAAAGTTATATCTGGCATACAAGAGAGGCAGAGACAGGAGTTAATTTAGTACAGTCATGATTTAGCCCCTGATGTTGGACACATTGCTGTTGCACAAAATAATTGTAATGGAGGAATAATAATTCCTCCATTATTAGGAAATAATAATTTCCTAACAGCAGGAAAGAAAGGGGAGAGGGTGTTGGATGAGCAACAAAAAAGGTTGCCACATAAACCTATTCCTTCAAGGAGATCTAAATTCCCTGACAACTAGAAGAATAGGTTCCTTTTCTACCAATGTACTCAGTGCCAAGGGTAAGCTGGTCATTTAATAGGTACTGAAAAACATATTGAATTTAACTGAGATACTAAAAAAATAATAATAAATGTATTTAAATGAAAGAATGAGTATCAAAAAAATAGATTGATCTATTTTTCCTTTAGTAATTCCATCCACTTACCTATTAATCTATATATTTGGATAAGGGGTTGTGGTTGCCACCAGGCCACTGTGGCAGGACTGGCCCCTGGTGCCAGGTGCACATACAAGATGGAGCTGACCAGCAGGACAAGGCATGTTTGCAGGATAGAGGAGGTCCATTGGGCACAATGTGCACATGTGCAGGACTGGACAGCTGAGGTGCCAGGTGCATCGGGGCTGGGGTGAGGTCTGCACAGGGTGTGGTTCAGGGTGTAGCAGGTGCACAGGGTTTAGCAGCCCTGCAGGCCTATGGGGCATGGAGAGGAGCAGCTGCCACTGTGGAACAGGCCAGCTGGTCACAGCTCATGCATGGAGCAGAGTAGAACCCCCAGGCAGAGCAAACCTGTAGGGCAGGCAGGGTGCCTTCACAGGATAAGGTAAGTCCATAGGTCATGGCACTCACACACGTGGGCTAGGGCAGTGCAGAGTGGGGTGCATGCGTGGGGCAGGAAGGATACATGCAGAGGTGGTGGGCAGTGCAGAGTGGGGTGCATGCGTGGGGCAGGAAGGATACATGCAGAGGTGGTGCTGTGCAGGATGGTGTGCATCTGTGGTGTGCAGACCACCCAGATCCAAAGATTGCAGCTGTACTTGCTTTGATATGGCTCAGGACCTTTCAGGCAGCAACAGCAGCAGTGAAGCAGCAGTCCGGCTGCCCCAGCACTGGGCAGTGGGCACCCAGGGCTGGAGACATGTGCTCCACCCAGTTCCCACAGAAAGTGTAATTGAGCAGGATTCCCCAGACCACAACAGTGGGTGGTGGGCTTATGGTCTCTGGCTGTGCCCAGGGTCTCTGATGGCAGCAGCCACAGGGGTGCACATCCCTGGCCAACAAGGCACATGTGAGCACCAGATTCCCTGCTCCCTCCTCGCTTGGCAGGGGCATGGGGGTGGCTGCAATCACAGATCTGACCCCTGGGCAAAGGTGTCATGCCAGGGTTGGGAAGTCACAATGGCACCAGCTGCAGTGCCCAGGACTCACAAGCCAGCTGTCCCTTGTCTCCAGAGCAACACAGCTAACTGCACAGCCCCCAGTCCAGTCTCTGTACCAGTCCAGAGGCCTGCTGCAGTGGAGGGGCCCTCCTGCCACTCGGGTCACAGTATTCTCAGAGGATGCCTAGAGCCTGGGATTTTTCTCCTCTGTCCCCTTCTCACATGTGGGCAGCTTTCCTAATTAGCTCCAGTCCTACTGAGCAGTTCATCCCACTTCTGTCTTCTTCACCTCAGTCCTGACTCCTCTCCACGGACTCCCAGTGCTCTCATTCAGAGAACTGATCCAGAGCTGGGTATCTGTCTACCACCCTGTATCCTCCATACGAAAGCAGCATTGTGCAGGCTGCTTCCAGTCCGCCATCTTGGCCCCGAATTTCTATCAATATTTCACTTTGGGTCATGTAATTCGATCATAAAAGAAACAAATCTCACTGATGGGCCAATTCATCCTTTACTTAAATATGCCAGAAATCAACTTGAGCTAGCCCATGGAAATATAATGGTCATTTATTATGAGAATGCAAAGTGATTTTTATCATCCAGGGGTGAGGATATAGCAAGGCCATAGAAAAGGATTGGAATAGGGAATGGAAAGATATCTGGAATATAACAATTATTTATCTCCCTACACAATTACCCATTCTGTTTTCTGTTTCTGGTTGATGAGTAAGAGCTGCATCAAGGCACCTTTGGAAAAAGATTGGCTCAATTTGGGTCAATCATTCTCCCTCCTGGACACGATCAAGTGTGCCCAGGAGAGTTGAGTCTTTTCCTTCAAAATTAACTGCAGTATCCCATTCCTATAGGTAAAGAATACTGATGCATAGATTATAATGAGCCAGAAAGACTGCGATGGTCCAATATTTGTGTTCCCCCAAATTCATAGGTTGAAATATTTGCTCCCATCGTGATGGTATCAGCGAGTGGAGGCTTTGAGAGGTGAGTAGGTGACGAGGGAAGAGCCTTCGTGAATGGCATCATTTCCCTGATAACAAAGACCCCAGAAAGCTGCCTTGCCCATTCCATCATGTAAAGACACAAAGAGAAAGTGACATCTGTGAACCAAGAAACAGGCCAATACCAGACACCAATCCTGCCACACCTTGATCTTGGACTTCCCAGCCTCCAGAACTGTGAGAAATCTATTTCTGCTGTTTATAAGCTAACCCGGATTTTGCCATAGCAGCTTCAATGACCTAAGACAAAAGTATTGCAAAAATTATCTTATTCAATGAATATAAGTTGTGAAAACTTAAGCTAGCTTCAGTGTGTGTGTGTGTGTGTGTGTGTCCATGTTAATTAGCTTCACTGAACCATTCCATAATCTCTATACATATTTTAAAACACCATGTTTTACACAATAAATATATATAAACGTTATTTGCCAATTTAAGAATATATAAATAGAGACATTTAACAGGAAAAAAATAGAAATTGGGTTTGACTTTAGAAAGATGTAAAGATAAAGAAAAAAGTAGTAAGAGAGAACTTTAAGGTATGGATTATGATTGAAAATAGTGAGATAAGAAATTGAGAGAATCCAGCTGGAGAGATTCCTAAAAGAGATTCACTGTGAAGAACAGTATGGCCAGAATAGCCTTGTACCCAAGAATGATAGGGTTGACCACTAAGGATGAGGTTCAGAGACAGTTATCAGTAGACTCCAGGGTGCATCTGTAACTGCAACAATTACTGAGGTGAGACTAAATGCTCAATACTGAGCTAAAAGGTCAGATCACAAGGTCGCCAGCCGTAGACTGCAGGAGCCGAATACCCACGAATAAAGATAACTGCACCTCCGTAGACACTACCAGTGAACACACAAATGCCAGATCAGCCACTCTTGAGAAATGTCCAATACTAGGTAAAACCCCAGACAACCCCCCCACACACCACCACCATGAAATGCAATGAGGACTTTTCATTGATATCCAGCTGCTGTTTTGGGAAGGATAATGGATAAAATTGAAGCAGCCCTGAAAGGAATTTGACTTCTAACCTGATTGAACACTTAGCAGAGAGGGTCTATTTAGAACTGAGAGATACTGTTCAAACTGGAAGATGCTGAGATATTGCTGATCAACATGTTTCTTTCCACTGCCCGGTGGAGTAAGAGCCTGTTAAAAATATTCAGATCAATTACATAAAATAGCTAAGCTAGAATTTTCCCACACTTCTATGTGCACTTTGTCAACCCAGTTATATGGTTAAAAGCTTAGCAATTTGGATCTAAAGTATGGAAAGCAAGCATAAAAGAAGGGAGATTAGATAACAAGAAGGGGAAAGGATTATAAAAATATCATAGCATAGATATCTATAATGGGAGACATAGGCGTGCCACAAGAGAAACAGAGTTGAATCACATCTTACATCATCATAGTTAAATATACTCCTAAAAATCCTAAAGAAGGCAATCGTGGTATCTCGCTATCATCTCTCAATAAATATAACGAAGGCTGTCCTACAAAGTCCTAAGCACTCTAGCTTCTAAAATCTCTAACTCATAGACTATCAAACATATTGCAAAGCACTCAATTTCCATACTACATATCTTGTAAATTTTTTTTTAAATGAAAGAATTTGCATTACTTTGCATTTGAAATGATGTGGCTACAACTGACTAATTAAATTCGAATTTTCCTTTGGGTTCTTAGAACACACATACTCAGGAATTGTTGTAAATAGACAAAATATGTTACACATTATTTTCAATTGTGAAAATTTATTACAAATATTAATTTTACCCTCACAAAAATTGATTTCCTGTTTTTTTTAGAAATTTCAGTAAATATTGACTTGATTTTTCAATTCTCTATTTTGAGGTAAATATATTTTGTTTCAAGGGTCTAATATTTTCAGAGAGCTTTGAATAACTCCAAAGTCTGCAGGCAGCTTTCCTAAGAAATAAAGCAACGTTGACTCTATCGCAGCATAGGGGATAAAAATAATACAGTAATTCCCCCCCTTATTCATGGTTTCAGGTACCCAAAGTCAACGATGTTCTGAAAATATTAAGTGGAAAATTCTAAAAATAAGCAATTCATGAATTTTAAATTGCACACCATTCCAAGGAGTGTGATGAAATTTCATGCTGTCCTGCTCCTTCCCACCTGGGACATGAATCATCCCTTTGTCCGTGAATCCAAATAATGTCTCAATGTCCACAGCGCTGGTGTTGAAGGTCGATACGAGGTCACAATGCCTATGTCATTCACCTCACTTGATCTTATCATGTAGCCACATGATCACAAGAAGGGTGAGTACAGCACAATAAGATACTTTAAATGAGAGAGAGAGAGAGAGAGACCACATTCGCATAACCTTTATGACAGATAATTGTTATAACTGTTCTGTTGTATTATTAGTTGTTGCTAATCTGTTATTGTACTTAATTTATAAATTAAGCTTTATGATAGGTATGTATGTACAGGAAAAAACTTAGTGTACGTTGGGTTCAGCACTATCTGTAGTTTCAAGCTTTCACTGGGGGTCTTGGAACACATCCCCTAAGGATAAGGGGAGATTACTGCATTTACAACCACAAAAATCACTGTTGTCCAATTGAACACCTAATGTACCTTTTGATCTGAGTTTGAGAGGCACTTAGTAAAACTATACATACCTTAAATATGAGAATTAAATACAATAGGGTGAGGTGGTCAATGTAAGCTAGGCATGCAGGAAACTGAGACAGCCTTAGGAAAACACATATCCTACCTCTCAGCTTTACCTTGGGCCATATGCACGTTCGCTGAAATTATAGGCTGTCACCTGCACAATTCACATAGCCAGGTTTCCTTCAGCTTCTCTCTGTCACTTTCCCTCTTTCCTTTTCTCCCTAGCTCTCTAAAATAGAAGAGTTTATAATGGGACTCCAGTAAAGGCACTGGAGAATGACAGGCACCCAGAAAGGGAGGGGAGAGCTTACATTCAAATGGAAGCTATCCAGAATAGTTTGTAAAGAAATTCTTTTTTGAGATTGGCATTAAAGGAAAAGTAAAATTTTGACAATATTCTTTCCCTCCCCCCCTTAGGAGGGTTGACATTCTTGGTGTTGGAAGAGCATAAACAATTCTATAAAGGCAGTAAAGGTTGAATATGTTTTAAGAGGAGCCCAGATCAGAGTTTGTTTGGGAAAATAGCAGGAAATAAGGTTAGGGGGAAAAAAAGATGGGAATACAGATAAGTAAGTTTTTCTAGTATTATTTCATACTATTTAAAGGTGTCTTGAGGACAAATGGTTTTAAATGAAAGAATTCATTGTTTCGCCTTCTCCTACATCTCCCAATTGCTAACTTAAAATGTGATCATTTTATTAATGCCAATAATTACTACTTTTCTGCATTTCACATTCTATGTTGCCTTTCCTTCAAAGTTGCCTAATTAAAACCAAGTCTCATTTCCACATGCCTTACTCTGCTCATTTGATGGTCTTTGCTCCAGGGCTCCTTGCAACTAGCAACAGATTGAAACCGAGAAGTAGTGGAAAAGGAAAAAAGGAGCTGTCACTACCAGAATGCCTTAAAAAATAAAATAAAATCTGAAGATAATGTGCATACCCTCAGCTAATAAGCTAAAAAAGTTCCACCCCCAACCTTTCTAAATAACCTTTCATGCTTTCTGTCAAGGCAACATATAATTTTGTTTAGGAGGCAAGGACTCTTTTTTAATTGTTTTGCATAAAGTATGGTTCTAATGTTGAGTACAACAGTAATAGTTCTGGTATTTGTCTTTTAAACTGTGTCTTCCTGGCTACGTTAATGAAAGTAGCCTCTGTAGTTTTCCTCTGTCATTAAAAAGAAAACAAAGGGTACATTCTTACTTGACTTTTGACTTCTGTGATAACAAAAATACCGTTACTTAACGTTTACTTTGCCTTCACTGTGTGTCAGTCACTGTATTAGATGTTTGCATGTTTATAACGTTTTATTAAGTCCTCATATCAACTTTATAGATTAAATATTATTATCCCTGTTTTATAAAGGAATACTTTGAGGTTTAGAGGTTGAATAGCATGTCAAATGTCACTGTGATATTATGAGAGACATACTTGGTCTTCACCCATTTTTTTTTAATTATTTCAGAATTTGTTGAATTATTTCAGAATATTATGTAATATATATAATTTATATGTATATAAATTTATATATATACATATATACTACATTTTGGTTACACGTAATGCCTTTGCCTTGCTCATGCCAGGGCTAGAAGCAAGCCCCTCCCCCACACAGTGCACTCAGTTGTGAGTTTACCCCATCACCCTCCACACCCTGTTTCCTGGCATCTAATTCCTACAATCTGTGGAATCTCCAAAGTGATGTCTTTTCATATGTTAATGACTGACTGGTGGCTGGGGGCCCCTAGGTAGCATCAGAATGGGGCTGCTCCACAGAATTGGGCTTGGTCTAATCAAGCCACTGCAGGGTTAGAAGGTTGGCACTTTGAGGCCTGCCTCCCAACCTCCAGGGAAGGCGGAGACGCTGAAGGTTAAGTTGATCACCAGTGGCCAATGATTTAAGTGATCATACCTATCTAATGAAGCCTCCATAAAAACCAAAAAGGACGGTTTTTGGGGGAGCTTGTGGATAGCTGGACTCTGAAGGTTCCTGGAGGGAGGTACACCTGGGGAGGGCATGGAAGCTCCATGCCCCTTCCCATACCTTGCTCTACACATCTCTTCATCTGTATCCTTTTATTATCTTTTATAATAAACACAGTAAACATAAGTAAGTGTTTCGCTGAATTCTGTGAGGGGCTCTAGTAAATTAATCGAGCCCAAGAAGGGGGTCATGGGATCATCTATTTATAGCCAGTAGGTCAGAAGCACTGGTAGAACAACCTTGAGTTTGCCATTGATATCTGGAGTAGGGGGCAGTTTTAGAGACTCAGCCCTCAACCTGTGGGATCGGATGCCACCTCTGGGTAGATAGCCTTGGCATTGAATTAGACGACATTCAGCCGGTGTCCACTGTAGAAACGATAGCTTGCTTGTTGGTGGGAAGAAATACCCACATATTTGATAACTGGAGTCTTATGTGTTGATTGCTATGGGGTGAGAGGAGAGGAAAAACAGTTTAATTTTTCCTCACAGAGTCACATAGCTAGTAAATTGTAGCAAGGCACTCAAACTACAATCCCTATACTATGCTATTACTTATAAAATATTTTATTCACACCAATACCAATTGGCCTGTTTATTTTCAGTAAGTTATACTTATGGCCCCATAGTTTTGAGGAAGTTCTATGTACAACTTGAGATGTGTCAGCTCTCCTGAGTAACCAATGCATACTATCCTTTAGACACATTTCATATAGGATTTGGACCATATTTTCATTAGTTTTCCCCTCATCTAGTGTTTTTGTATCTGCCTATCTCATTGATTGCCAGGTAAGTTGTGCTATGATTTACTCCATGCTACTCTGTTACTTGATTAGAACTTGAAGTCCAGTCATAGTATTAGTTCTCGGGGAAATCGTGATCTGCCCCATATTCGTGTCTACAAAGCATAACACAGTGGAAAATATACGTATATAGGGGTGACCTGCAGCATCTGGAACTATAGATTCATTTACGTGGGGCTACCATTGAACTTTGATTAAATTCTCTAAGGATATTTAATGAGCACATGTGGTGTAGGCATGCTGGTAAAACAAAAGAAATGGAGATGTAGAACCAAGCTGAGTTCAAGCCTCAGTTCTTCCATTACTCCCATAGCCTCATCTGGTGAATGGGGATAACTATAACACCTGCTTCATAGATCAAGTCATTGACCAAGTTCTGAGATAATCCACTATGCATGCAGTATTTTTAAAATCTATCTTAATTTTTAAATAAGGATAATGAATTACCAGCTTATCATAACTTCATAATTTTGATTAACTATTTGCTAATAAAATGTCATTTCAACATATGGTTAGTCACAAATTTGCTAGCAACTTCAACCAAGATATCTGTCTCATGTTGCCCAACAGAGACCTTCCCTTCAAACTCCCAAAGAAACCAGTGTTTAAAAACTCAGTGCTTTCTGTTTCATTTCAGACAACTTCTTTGTGTTTTATGTAAATGTCTTTGCAGGAGTATGAGGAATATTTTGTTCCAGCATTTCATGATCTAAATTGTGACTCATTAAAATATTGTGGAGCATATTTTTCTTTTCAGAAAACACAGCCCTCATTGACACTTACTCCAAAAGGTATCCATTTAAGTTCCAAGGAACTTATCACATTTCTTCTCTTCAACTGTCATTTGATTTTGGTGCAGTAGACATGTGCTACACAGCTCTTTTAACTTTCCATCAAGGTAAATTATTGGAAACCTGGGTTACTATGGCAATAAGGGGTAGCCCCCATTGTTTTTTCATGTCAGTCATCTCAGTGGTGTTAGCCTGGTAGTGAGTGCTAACCAGTAGGGGAGTTAAGACCAGCATACCTTTGCAGAGCTTTAGACTGTGAATCCAGGGATGGAACCACTCATATGGAAAGGCTTGTTTCCATGGCAACAGGAGCAGCTCCTATTGTTTCAGTTTGTCACTCATCACAGCAATGTTTGCCTTGGGAGGCTGCGTTAAGCATTTCTTCCCACATTTTGTTGTGGATCCAAGAGATTGGATGGCAACGCTGCTATGGTTACCAGCGTTTTTGTCTTAGGGGAGACCCTAGAATAAAGTAATCTCTCTGACTCCAATAGAAATTTTAAATAACTAGCAATGGAATAGAAAGAAAAGAAGTTGTGAAAACTCCTTTCTGGGAGTTTTTATATGATCATAAAATCTGACTTTTTTCAATCATCATAAAATCTGACTTTTTTCTTTTTTTGGTGTGAAGGTGGAGTGGTGGAAAATGAAAGGTGAGAAAAGTTAAGGAATATTAAAATAAGGAATAAGGAGAACATAAAGTGATCATCATTTCTTTAAAAAATAGGAATGGAAAACAGAATGGCTCAAAGATAAATGTGTAGTAAATATTCATATATTCAATGTATTTCTCTCATCAGTCTATATATCACTTAATTTAAATGATCTCCCCAATACTTATTGGTATGGCCTGAATCTGTTCTCCAAAAATTCATATTTTGAAACTTAATCATTAATATGATAGCATTAGGAGGTGGGGGCCTCTAGAAGGTGATTAAGTCATGAGGGCAGAGTCCTCATAGATGGGATTGATGATTTGATAAACGAGGTTCAAGGGGGCTATTTGTCCCTTAGCTCTTCCACCTTTGCACCATGAATGGACATAGCAACAGGCACCATCTTGGAAGCAGAGAGTAGCCTTCACCAAACACCAGATCTGACGGTGCCTTGTTCTTGGATTTCCCAGCCTCCAGAACATTGAGAAATAAATTTTTATTGTTTAAAACTTACCCAGTCTATAGTATGTTGTTATATAATCAGGAATGGGATTCTGACATAACAAAAGACACTTATAAGTCACTTACAGAAATAATTCATTTTCTCAGCCAGATCATCACCCTTTTCCTGGTGTTGATCACTTAGTACTATGAAGGGATATTCAGAAAACAGAAAACCTTCTAGGTAACAACAGTTTAGATTTTATTTCCACTCTTTTCTCATTTCCACTCTTTCTCTCTCTCTCTCTCTCTGTCTCTCTCTCTCTCTTTCTCTCTCTCTCTCTCTCTCCATATATATATATATATATATGTATGTATTTCAGAATATTATGAGGGTACAAATGTTTGAGTTACATATATTTCCTTTGCCACTCCCAAGTCAGAGCTACAAGTGTGTCCATCTCCCATACAATGAGCACTGCACCTATTAGGTGTGAATATACCATCCTCTCTTCCCCTACCACCTGCCAGAGACCCAATGAATGTTACTCATTTCCACTCTTCATGGGTCTCAAGACTGATGCAAAGAAGGAAATAGCTATTAAGTATTATCAAGAAAGTCACAACCAATATTGGCATCTTTTCTGCAATTATATGGTCACTATTATATTTATCTCTCTAGAGTATCAGACCATTGCAAACTTGACAAAAATTAGCACAAATTTCATAGAAAATTGTTAAAAACATAGGAAATTATAATCCAAAGATTCAAAGACTAACACTGTTGGCATTTTGATTTTATTATTTCATCTTAGTATTTCTCTTGTATTGGATACTACAAGGTAGTAAGTATTGAGTCATATGCATTATTTCACTTACATTTCATTAAAAACTTTTGAGGAAGTTATTGTTATTCCTATCTTCAGAAGGACTACAGCTAGTTGGCAGAATTATTTGAAATTAGACACTGAGTTTTACTACTAAATTCTATAATAAAACATTCTTTTTTATTTAATCTCCCCAAATCAGAATCACACTATATGCACTACTTTAGTATTTGCTATGCCTGATTGGCTTGTGAATTATCAGGACATTTGTTAATGGCCACACTTCATTTTTAAATGACTATAGATAATGATAATTTCTCTCTTCCTTTGTGCACTTTAACAAATCTGTTATCCTTATGTGTTTATAATGCATTCTTTCAATCTTAGCAAACATTTAATGAGCAACTAACTATTCTGTGTAGAACTTGATAATAGATTATGACTACATATGATATGCATTGTTTTCTCACATTATTCCTTGGGAGAATGTAGCAGAAGATACAAAGTATATTTAATCTTTTTGCCTAGAATGGAATGTATGTATCCAGGGTTGATGGGGCACGAAATACCAAGGAGACATCTAGAGAAGAAAGTGTGGTTCTGCCCATATGGCAGGGACAGATTGCTCAACCCACCAGCACATCAAGTCTGCTCTAACTCTCTAGGTGCCTGTGCAGCAGTATGTGTTCACTGTAAGTTGTATCTCTTCATTCCAACACTGAGATTAAGCAAAATGGGTCTGTAAGAAAGCCAAGTTTGCTCTTTTTTTTCTCTTCGTGGACTATGGTCACATTGCAATAAAAAGTGTTTTTTATATGCTATTTTCCCCATAAACTTTATTCCCAACATAAATATGTTCAGAGTTAAAAAAAAAAAAACTTAGCTTGAAATATAAGGCCATTTTGCAAGATGCACTCAAGGAATGTACAAGACAGGAGGCATGAGAATAATATGTGTTGAGAAAACAGTTTCATCCTGAACAGACAGCCTTTTAGTTAAAGAAACTAAGTGCACGTACGTATGTACCTAAAATCGTGTACCTAAAATCACTTGTGCATGAATGTCTCTGTGTTTGAGTATAGTAAATACATACCCAACCAATGCCAAGTTTTCAGAATTTAATCAGAAAGATTAAAGTAAAGCTTGTATTGATGCTTTTTGGATAGGTAGCATTCTGCAGCTATTTTTAATGAATGAATGAATGAATGTATGAATGAATGAATGTCATGGGGAAAAGGTGAATATCTCTTTACTACATTAGTTAAAATGGAAGGTTATTATAACTCTTTAAGTTTAGGATTTTCATGATTAATTTTCATTATTGTTTTTTCTCATTTGCTTACCATTCTTGTTGCTTTTACATTTTATAATTTAACATTACATTTTTATAATTACATTTTATAATTTAAAAAAAGATATGTTGTTATAAATAAGTAGTACTCCAGATCTACTTTATGACTTGCACACATATGAATACATTCTTGGGGTGGGAAAATTGTTTAATCTTTTCCTTCAAACAGGCGCTGCCTTCTTGCAACATCGATAGGTTTATTTCATTCAAGAAATATTTATGAAGGCCTTCTTTGCATACTATGTTGGGTATTACTGAGTTGGGGGAAAGATGCACTGGTGGGTTTCCCTGACGATAGATATGCACACTCCGTGGAGGTTTTACCCAGAGTACTGTGATTAAAGTTCAGTGTACTTTTAATTATCATAATTAAAGAACATATCGAGAAGATCAATCAAAAACAAGTACCTGCTTTTGAAAAATCAGTCTAACATAACTTCCAAGAATAAACTCAAGGATCTCTAGATACAGCATAAACATTTACTGAGTTGTGATCGTTCTTTTTATGTGTGAACACGCCTGGATTAAGAGATGCCCAGATAGGTGGTAAAACATTACTTCTGGGGGTATCTGTGACAGGGCTTCCAGAAGCGATTAGCATGCGAGTAAGCAGACTGAGTAAAGAAGATGGCTCTCCCCAGTGTGGGCAGGCATCATTCAGTCTTTTGAGCCCTAATAGAAAAAAAGGGTGGAGGAAAGGCAAATTCCCTTTTTCTGTTTGAACTGGGACATCCATCTCCTTCTGCCCTCCCTCAGACATAGGAGCTCCTGGTTCTCTGGCTTTTGGACTCAGACAATTATATCACTGACTTTCCTGGACCTTCAGCTAGCAGATGGCATATTGTGGGACTTCTCAGCCTCCATCACCACATGAGCCAATTCCTGTCATAACTCTCTCTTTCTCTCTTTTTCTTTTCTTTTTTTTGTATATATATATATATATAAAACAGAGTAAGTTTTCATATATATACAATACAGAGTAAGTTTTCATAGACATAATGAAGCTCCCTTACAACAGAATATATATATATATATATATCTCCTATTGGTTCTCTTTCTCTGGGGAGCCCAGTGTAGTACACTGAGCATCAATTACATGACTGAAGCTCTCTGTGGAGAATAGAGACATGAATCAGAGAATGTCTTCCAGAACATGAATTGTTCCATGACCTGACCAGGGTCCCAGGCAGTCTTGACTTCTGATATCTCATCAACTTGGTAGAAGAATCCCCCCATCCCCTTTTTTCCCTCTGCATAATGTTTGCTCTTCTTCAAGACCCAGCTCAAACGGTACCTTCCCCTTAATGCCTTCCCTTGCATTGTGGCATCCAAGAATGGGTAGAGAGCCTTTTCTCAGCATTTCCATAGCAGTCCAACCATAACTGTGCCAGGTTAATGTTTTTAATTAATGAAATGTTTTTAATTAATGTTTTCAATTTAATGAAACCAACCAGGTTAATGTTTTTAATTAAACTATTTATTTGTAGAAAGTTGTAGATACATATGCAGTTATGAGAAATAGACGAGAGATCCCGTGTGCCTTTCACTCAGTTTCCCCTAAATGGTAATATCCTGCTATATAGTATCACAACCAGGATATTCAAATTGATACAGTCAATATACAGAACATTTTCATGAACAAAAGAATCCAGAATAACGTTTGATAACCAAACCTTCTTCTCTCCCACATCTCTACTTCCCACCCCACCACCCTTAACCACTAGCAACCACGAAATCAGGCCTTCATTTCTCTAATGTTGTCATTTAAATAATGCTACATAAATGGACCATAAAGTATGTAACCTTTTGAGATTGCTTTTTTCCTAAGTGTAATTCCTTGGAAATTATTGCATAACATCCAGGTTGTTGTGTGTGTCAATACTATGGATGTACCACAGTTTGTTTAACCATTCACCTGTTGAGGAATATCTTGATTGTTGCCAATTTTTTACTATTAGGAATAAAATTGCTGTAAACATTCATGTACAAGTGTTTGTGTGAACATAAGTTTTCATTGCTCTGGAACAAATGCCCAGGAGTACAATTGCTGGGCCGTATGGTAATTAGATGTGTAGTTATTTAGAAAACTGCCAAGCTGTTTTCCAGAGTGGCTATAGCATTTTATATCCCCACTAGCAATGCATGAATGATCCAGTTTCTCTGCTTTCTCATCAACATTTGGGATTGGCATTATTTTTATTTTGAATTTTAGTCATTCTGGCTAAAACACATTTAAATAATCACAATACCAAAAATGCTAATATAGATGCTAAGGTGAAATACAAAGGATATATTCAAACCATCCAGGAGAAAAGGTAAAAGAAACATCCTCCAAAAGGAAGAAGTCACCTATGCCAAGCCCAGGGATGAGAAGGACCACCTGGCAACCTGGAAAAATGCAAATAGCTTGAGATGGCCAGCAGGTACTGAGAAATTCAATGAGATAATGGGAAGGTGGGCAGAGATTAAATACCAAAGAGCCTAGCATGCCTTAATGAAACTTAGACTTCACAAAAAGGGTAAAGGCTTGAGAGGGGAAATAACGGTATCATTCTGAAAGAAACCTACTTTCTCTTCCCAATGCTACTTTCTTAATTTGGACAATTAATATACAGGCAGAGAAAGAAAAGCAACCAAACAAAATAGAGAAGGTGTAATCAAAGGCACCAGAGATGAATTCTTTGTAGCCAGAAAGCTAAAGCATGCCAGATGAAATAGGAAGGCAGTAAAGGGTTGAGAAGAGGAGTCAGCAAATTACACCCAGGGGCCAAATCTGGCCAACTCTTTGCTGTTGTAAATAAAGTATTATTGGAACACAACTGTGTCCATTCATTTACATATTGTTTATGACTGTCTTTACACTATGATGGTGGAGTTGAGTTGTTTGAGACAGATAAAAATCTATCCCACAAAATCAAAAGTATTTTCTAACTGACTCTTTACAGAAAATATTTGCTGATCCTTTCTTTAAAATAAAGGAACAATTAATTGAGAAAAAAAAAAACTGCCAAGTGTCCTCTGGATTTATCAGGAAGCTTTTGGTGACTCAGTGAGAGCAGTTTTCGGTGCAATGCTTGGTGCTGGCTATAAAGAATGAGATAAAAGGAAGTGTAGAGAGTAGGTGCAGGCAACTCTTTGAAGATGGATTCAACCTCTCACAACCAATGCTCTACCCGCTTCCCCAAAGTTCACCAATAAAATATATTGTCTCCATTCACAAATCAAGGGAACAGAGATTCAGAGAGTCTAAGCAACTTGGCCAAAGTTGCATAGCAAGTAGGTAGGAGTCAGAAATGGAATCCAGTTCTATATAATCAAAACTCATGTTCTTTCTGATACATCATATTTTTCCTAGAATTTATGCTTGAAAGCCAAGAACTAAAGCCTCATGAAAAGTGTGTTCAATTTCAAGATTGTAGACTTAGAAAGTAAAGCATTCCTGCAGAGAAACATCTTGAAACATCATATGTTATCCCTACCAACAGGTACACTAAATGAGTGATATCATTTAATAACTACATTAAATTAATCCAAAATCATTCTCTCTCCAGATGTAAAGGATTCTTGCTCCCTGAACCCTTCTAATGTACAGAAACTGCCTACTCAGAGTAAGTTTTCACAGACATAATGAAGCTCCCTTACAACAGCATCTGTTCTGAAATATTAACAGCAAAAAGAACAAATAAATGCAAACTCTTAAACTGATCGTCATTTAGGGAACAATAATAATGATAATGACAATAGAGGGAAAAAAGACATCTCTAATGAAAGGAGCAGAAAGAGCCCCGGTAGGCAAGAACTTTACTACCCTATAACAATCTACACGAAATACCTCAATAAAAGGATATAAACGTTTTTTCTCAATCCATAATTCATTATTGCTCAAAATCATAGGAATATGTTATGTGAGACATACTGATCTTGATTTTTTTTTCCCTCACTCCTTTGTTAAATTTAAAGCCAGTAATTTTAATTAAAATTTGGCAGGATAAAAAGAGAGGGTTGCTACAATATATATATATATATATATATATATATATATATATATATCATCATCATTCATTAGAAATCACTTTATAACAATAGCACTCAGCAGGGGCTGGTTTTGCCCTTCAGGAGATATTTGGCAGTCTGGAGACAGTTTTGATTGTCACAACCTGGGGCAAGGGAGGTGCTACAGGTGACTAGTGTGGGTGGAGACCAGGATGCTGCTCAGCGTTCCACAGTGACCGGGACAGCCCAGAATGGATCTTCTGGCCCAGAATGTCAACAGTTGAGGTTGAAAATGTTACTGCAGAGGAATACCACTGTGGCATGCCTGCATTCTCACCAATGGCACAGACCCGAATATACCAAATATACTAATTATACTTGGGCAACTATTATTTGCAAAGTCATGAAATATAGTCCTTAAACTATCATACTTGCAAAGGATAGCCTAAAAGGAAGAAATACACGGGGTTGACCGAGCCAATAAAAATAATATATTATGTCAGTATGAATATGTATGATTTTTTTAATAAAAATTGGACCTCCTCTTCAAGATGAAATAACATACACGCCTAATTGTGTACTAATGCCATTTGGACCAGCATTCTGGAGCTACATAAAAACAGTACAATAAAGACCTACAGAAGGCATGTTGCCAATTTATCCAGAAAGAGAGAAATAAAAGTGTGATTGAAAAAAATTATTTGTTGAACAAGCTGCAGCTGTGTATAACTAACACCTAATTGCTCATCTAGAACATATTAGCCATCAGGCAGAACAAAGGTGGATAATTGCTGTGATCTACTGAGATGATTTACCAAATTACTGCATAAAAATACACTTAGCTCATATTAAAGTTATGACACTAACCAATCAAACCTCAGGGTATTCGGAATTATTGGTGATTTGACCTAACTTTCTTTTGTGGATTTTAGAAATAAAAACCCCAGGGAATAAATCGAAGGCAGTATACAAGCTTCAGCTGGAAACCAGAAATTGATATCTGAATTCTTCTTCCAGAACTACCAGAAAGATTTCAATAAAGTACGGTACTCAAAAATTTTTAGATGGTAAAATGTCAGTAATGATTTTAATCATCAGTTAAATTTGTTATTCCATTGATGATTTACCTTTATTTTTAAAAAATATGTACAAATATAAGTGTGCAATTTAATTTGAACAGAAATGTAAATGGTGATAGACTCTATTTTTTGGATCTCAATAATAAACTCTACTTGAAGATTTGAATGTAGATAAGTCTTCTGATAGCTAACTTTGTCATCAATGAAGCACTAGAAACTAACTCCAGTAAAAGGGATCCTTGCTCTCAATTCTTCACCCCTGTCCTATATTATAATCCCAAACCTCTTGTCCTTTGTCACATGATTTTGCATTACCTCTCATGAAGGTTGTGAGAGCATTCTTTCCTCATCCTAGGGATGTTTGGTTTAGCCACATGACTTGTGTCATCCAATAAAATGCGGGCTAGAGTGATGGTGTCCAGCTAAAAGCTGCAGCCTGAAAAGAAATTTCATAATTTTGCTCACCTTTTTTGCTTTCCTTCCATTTTCCATCTGAGAAACATGTCTCATAGCTATTAACTAATTAGACATGTGGAGCTGCCCACAGACTTGAAAGCAAGACAAACATTTGCTGTAAGCCAATGAAATTGTTGAGGTTGTTAGGCAGCAAAAATCGACTATTTGCCTTATAGAAGGTTTTTCTAGCAATGTTTATACTATGAATGTTTGATGTGTACCTCCCCAACACTTCTTTCCCTGATTTCCAGTTGGAAATCCACCCTCACTTACCTCCACGTTGTTTAGGAAGGAGTGCCAGGATTGACTTTCAGGGTGAACTGAGCCTTGGAATTCCTCTGGTCACTGGGATTTCATTCAGTTATGGACACATGATTTTAGATGGGCCAAACAGGATACATTTCAGAACTTCTGGACCAGCTTCCAGAAGAGAATTTTGCTGTTCCCTCCTGGTCCTTTACTGGAAGAATGGGGAAGTTAAGGCTACTGCAGACATCATGCCAACACCAGGAGCAGCCTAGAGCTTTCTAGACTTAAGCCAACAAAGTCAAAACCAGAGTAAGCAATAGGAAGAAAGAAAGTTCCGGTAATGTGGCCCCATCTCTGAACTCAGCTGTCCCAGATGATTCTCTGGGTATTTTTTTTTTATATATGTGTTGATAATATCCTCTTATTCCTTAATCTAATTTGAATTATCTGCTACTGGCCAACCAGAGATTTTTGAATAGACACGGCATCTTTGATTTCAATGAAAGCATAAGAAATAGAGAAAATATTCTTTTTAAACAGAATTTTCATTTATTTGAATTAAAACATCCATTCTGTAATGTGTATAGAGAAGAATTTACTGCAGAAAGGGAACAATTATAGAAGCATATGCAAAACACAAGCCCAAATCTCCTTCTATTCATACAATCGTCTTTTAAAAGGAATATTATTATGACATAATTATAGTTTATACAAAGCCCAACATGAAATTAACATTTCAGGGATATAATAAAATTATAATATTTTCCTACAGGACATAATATTTTATCAATTCAGACTAGATTTATAATCTTCCAAACTTCCCATGAAATTTAAGAGGCTGCCTTAAAACTCTACTAAATTTAAAATGAACAAGTTTAATCCCAGGTTTATGAAAAAGACACTAAAATCTATGATGACAGAGAAAATAAAGTATGTCTGTCCTGAAATTAAGTCTACATAAATCTATTTTTCCAAATAATACAGATAAAGTGTTTGTTCGTAATTGAGTAAAGGAAATTATTTCTATTAATAAGATGGTCCAGATTCGGGGGGAAGTTGTCCCTAGCAACCATCAGTAATGTATACAAATTGCCTAAACTGGCTATGCGTTTGATAATTATATTATCAGATATTAATATTTTACTTCTGGTTGCTTAGCTACCACTTATATTTTAGAAAATAATATTCTATTTCTCTGACTATAAATGTAATACATCGTTATTTTCTATAATTTGAAAAACGCTGAAAGATACAAAAAGAAAATAAAATTAGCCTTGTCCCAAACACAAAATACTTGTTACTGTTAGCATGTTATTGCATTTCTCTCCAAAATTTATTTTCTAGAATTATGTTGTTTACACAATTATGTATCTTGTTTTTTTCACTTATTATATTTGAACATTTTTTCCATGACAATTATTTGCAAAAAAAAACCAAAAATCTTTCAAATGACTTCCCATCTTACTTTAAGTAAAAGCAAAAATTCTTACAATGGTGTCTTAGTAGGGTTATTATAACAGTTATCATAGACTGGGTAGCTTCAACAACAGACATTTAATTCTCCCAGTTCTTTGGAAGATGGAAGTCTGGGATCAGCGTGCCAGCATGGTCAGGTTCTGCCGAGGGCCCTGTTCCTGGTTTGCAGATGACTGTCTTCTTCTTGTTGTCCCCACACAGTGGAGAGCAGAGAAGAAGCAAGCTCTCTCCTGTCTTTTTTTTTTTTTTTTTTTTTTTTTTTGTGACAGAGTCTCACTTTGTTGCCCAGGCTAGAGTGAGTGCCGTGGTGTCAGCCTCGCTCACAGCAACCTCCAACTCCTGTCATCAAGCGATCCTCCTGCCTCAGCCTCCCGAGTAGCTGGGACTACAGGCATGCACCACCATGCCCGGCTAATTTTTTCTATATATTAGTTGGCCAATTAATTTCTTTCTATTTATAGTAGAGACGGGTCTCGTCTTGCTCAGGCTGATTTCGAACTCCTGACCTTGAGCAATCCGCCCGCCTCGGCCTCCCAGAGTGCTACTGCACCCGGCCTCTCCTGTCTTTTTATATATACAGGGCACTAACCTTATTTATAAGGCTTCCACCCTCGTGACTAATCACCTCTCAGAGGCCCCACCTCCTAATATCATCATATTGGGGGTCAGGATTTCTCATGAATTTCAAGGAGACACAAACATTCAGTCCATTGTAAACGCTCTCCATGAATTTCATCTTCCTATTACTTCTCTGACTCAAATACTTCCCCACCTTAACTCAACTCAGGTCCCAACCATCTCCTGCCCTTCCTCCATATTGCCAGGATGGCCCCAACTTACTACCTTAGTATAGCTGTCCTTTCTGCTAGGAATGTTTTTTCTCCTGATTTGTGTGGTTCCTTCCACTACTTTCTCCAAATGGCAACATCTCTGTGAGATGCATCAAGACCTAACAGGTAACCATGATCATGGTCACCGGAGTCAAACTTTCATACTAGCTGTGTGACCCTAACAAAGCTGCTGCACCTCTCTGTGCTGTGGAGAATAACAATAATTACCTTGTGGCCCTGTCGTGAGAATAAAATACATCCATATTTACTAGATTGCAAAACCCTCTGTGCTACCAGCATTCTTAATCCCTAAGTCAGCTCTTGTTTTTAACTTTACTTTTTTTCAAAACCCATCCCTTATTTTATAGCATACTCTATTAAATACTAATTATTATAGCTGTTATTACAAATTAGTGATATTTATTTTATTGTATACTATCTTATCTCTCCCTTCACTAGAGTATAAATCCTACCAAGTTAAAGATTTTCACCTTGAAGAGCACCTAGAACAAAAATGTGCTCAAAAATAAAAATACAACAGTTAGCACAAATATAGTGCCTGTAATGCCACCATTATTCTAAGCTTTTTAAGTGTGTTGATCACTTACTCCTAGCACAGCCCCATGGAACAGGTACAGATGGTCCCTACTTCTGACAGTTCCACTCACAACTTTTGCACTCTAAGATGGTGTGAAAGCAATATGCATTCAGTAGAAACTATAATTTGGGTGCCTATATGACCACTCTGTGTTCCACTTTTAGTACAGTATTCAATAAATGACATGAGATATTCAATACTTTCTTATGAATCGGCTTTGTGTTAAATCATTTTGCTCCACTGGAGGCTAACGTTAAGTGTTCTGAGCCTGTTTAAGGTAGGTCAAGGGAAGCTATGATGTTCGGTCAGGTTAGATACATTAAATGCATTTTTGACTTAAAATATTTTCCATTCACAGCAGGTTTGTTGGGACATAACCCCATCCATAAGTGGAGGAGCATCGTGTTGTTATCATCTCCATTTTACAGATAAGAAAGTTGAGTTGCATTCGAATTCTTAAGCAGCTTTCCCGGTTGGCAATGGTAATAAGTGATGAAGGGAGAATTGGAACCCAGGCAGAGTGGCTCCAGAGGGAATGCCCTTGACCTCTGCACTGCACTTTCAACAAATACATATTGAGGAGATGAGCTGAACAAACCAAAGACGGGAGCACTGTCGAGTCATCGGGACCAAGCTCCTTCCATGCCCCTCTCCTCCCTCTGAAAGTAAATAATTAAATAAAAAGCAAATTCTATCTCCTTTCAGGCTGTGCTATTTCTAACCAGAGGAAATAGGCAAGAAGATGAAATAGCGAGGCTTCCACTTCTCCATCTCACCTTTGACATGAGAGGAGCAGGGGCCATCTTCCTTTTGGCCGCGTGTCCCACTGCATTGGATTTCTCCTCGTTTATTTCATCTCCTCCCTCCTCCACGCTGATGGTTTGCATGCATAAAGCAAATGACCTTTGCTAGCCAGTATGTTTTCCCTTAACTCAGGCATGTTACTTTCTTCCTTTTAAATATTATATATAGCACAACTCATCAGTATACTATCAACAGCAGGGATTTTTGAGCAATGGCATCATATGTTTATTCAATGTGCCAGAATACCCAGTTCCTTTTCTTACTCCATTTCAACTTTAATATAATTTCTTTTATTGGGATATGTGTTGCTTGCTGGATGTATTACGAAACTACACGTGGATGTTTTATGAAAGCAATACTTTCTAGCTTTGCTAAGCTCTGCTCCAACTTTGTTCAAGTATGTAAAATGGGAGAGGGAGGAGAGATCCTCCTTAATCCTTGAAAGGGAGTAACTAACTACTTACTGTTCCGTAGCCCTTTCGCTAAGAGAAAACTACAAACTTTGATAGCCTCAAATACTACCTAGAGCATGATTCTCAGAATAGAGGCCAAAGACAACAAACACAGAGTTGTGTATCAGAAGCAGTAAGTATTTGTTATAAATGAGGACCTCTGGGCCCCATACTTTGCTAAATTGAAATTTAAGGAGGTGGAACAAGGGAATTTGTATCAGCAACTAATTTGTATATGTGTCCACACACACATACTGTGTTTCCCCCAAAATAAGACAGGGTCTTATATTTATTTTTCCTCAAGAAGACACCCTAGGGCTTATTATCAGGGGATGGTTATTTTCCCCTTAAAGCCTCAGCTTGCAGCACAGACAGGATGGCAGGGACCTGAAAGGGGGAGCCGACCTTGTTGGTTGGGCTGCCCGCACTTTTCTGGTCACCTCTGGGATAGTAGCTGTCACGATGGGGCAGATGAGAAGGGCTGCTCGTCGTCTTTACCGCTCTGCGATGAAATGCATGGGTTGTGCAGATGTGCTGCGTAGCCACACCCATCACTAGGTCTTATTTTCGGGGTAGGGCTTCTATTGCACAAATGCTTAGAAATCCTGCTAGGGCTTATTTTATGGGTAGGTCTTATTTTCAGGGAAACATGGTATATATGTAGACTGGACCTCCATATCAGTGGGCTTCCAATCTGTGGATTCAACCAATCATGGATCGAAAATATTTGGGGAAAAAATTGCATCTGTACTAAATAGGTACAGACTTTCTCTTTTGTCATTGTTTGCTAGACAATATGGTGCGACAAAAATTTGCATATTTACATTGTGTTATGCATTATAAGTAATCCAGAGATGATTTAAAGTATACATGAGGGCTGGGTGCGGTGGCTCACGCCACGCCTGTTATCCTAGCACTTTGGGAGGCCAAGGTGGGTGGATCGCTCAAGGTCAGGAGTTCGAGACCAGCCTGAGCAAGTGCGAGACCCCATCTCTACTATAAATAGAAAGAAATTAATTGGCCAACTAATATATATATAGAAAAAATTAGCCGAGCATGGTGGTGCATGCCTGTAGTCCCAGCTACTTGGAAGGCTGAGGCAAGAGGATTGCTTGAGCCCAGGAGTTTGAGGTTGCTGTGAGCTAGGCTGATCCCACAGCACTCACTCTAGCCTGGGCAACAAAGCAAGACTCTGTCTCAAATAAATAAATAAATAAAGTATACATGAGGATGTGCACAGGTTATATGAAAATATTATTCCATTTTATATCAGGGACTTGAGCATTCACAGATTTTGGCAACCACTGGAGATCCTAGAACCAATCCTTCAGGGATATTGAGGGATGACTCGAATATATATATATATATATATTATATATATTATATATTATATAAAGCCCTTATTGTTAAACAAATAAATGTTGAGAATCCACAATATGCCATGTCTTATGCTGATATCTGGGAATACAATGATAAATGGAAGTAGGTATGGTCCAATCTATATCAGGACTAGATAGAGTCTCTGGTCCCATAGAATCTTAGCCTGTTGAGTGAGCTCGTTAGTAATAAATGACCACGCAAATGAAGCTAGAACCTCCACAGGGAACAAGGGGTATGAGAGAGAGAAACTCTGAAATATGCACACTGGGCTTTGTCAAGAATTCCAGGGAAAGCTTCTCTGAACTGAAACCCAAAGCTGAGTATAACTTCACTAAGGGAAGAGGAGAAAGCAGGGTTGTGTTGGAGGCAGAAGGAAAATGGTGTCATGAATCCCATGGAAAAGGAGCATGAGAGAGAAGGAGCAAAGAAAGAAATCCAGAGTTGTGGCAGCCACAAAGTGAGGACAAGCTGGATGTCCGGATGCCAGCTAGAAGAGGAGGCAGCTGTTGGACCACACTGAGTGTTGCAGATATTATTGCTGTCCTTACTTTGTGCAAAGACAATAGGAACCCCTTGGAGAGCTTAAAGGCAGAAGGGGCACTGGCAGGGTTACAGTGAGATTATTCTAATTGACTCTAAAGCTGTACTGTCTAATACAGTAGCCACTAGCCACATGAGGTTATATAAATTTAAATGTGATAAAATTAAAAAATTCAACTCCTCTATCACACTTAACCACATTTTAAGTGCCAAATAGCCACATGTGGCTAGCAGCTACCTGTGAGACAGAACAGATGTAGAACATTCACTGTTGCAGAAAGTTCTGTTGGCAGTGCTGCTCAAAGTGTGGTCCGCAGAACCCAGCGGACCCCTGAGAGCCAATTGGAAATGCACAATGGCAAGTCCTGCCCTGCAATCTAAGATGATTCTTAGGGGACCTGTGTGCATATTAGAGCATAAGAATCATAGTTCTAGATGGTAACTGACCCTTTAATAGAATCCTATTGATAATTCGCTACTTTGGGGTGAAAATCACCCATAAACTTTCAATATAGGGAACAATGACTAAAGAGTTGTCAATATTGCCAGATAAAGTACCAAATTGGACCCCAGTTTTATGAGATCTCTACAAGTCCCTTTAGGAACTCAGTGAAATATAGACACCACCTGGTTCAGATCAAATGCTTTACATTTGGGGAAAAAAAAAAAAAAAAAAGCCTAACGGTCCTTCCAAAAAAGAACTCCAAGGAATCCCCCGCCGGCCCCCCCTCCCCATCTATCCCCTTGTATTATCCCTCTCTAATGCCTTGCTGTTGAGTAGGATTGCTACATATCATACCAATAGAATCCAGGCTGTGACACAAAAAGCTTAATTTTCTTTTTTAGGGTTCCCAGTGGAAGACTATAATGCACGAAATGTTATTTGTTAGGTCGTTAAAAGAAACTAATGAACTCACTGGCTTCCTGAAATTGTAGTTCTATTTTTCAGGAGTATGGGAGCCTATTTATTTTTAACTGTACTATTATCATACAAATAGATCAACTTGTAGTTGTTACCCATTTCAGACATGCACTCCACTCCGTTTTTATAGCGCAGTCTGCTACATGACAAAATACCTGAGAAAGCTCACCAAAATCCCAGACTTGTAAACAAAGCATTATGGCAAATGTGAGGACAGGAATACCTCCACATAGCTCACCAGCCTATGCTAAGGTTTTAATTTCGAGTTTGAGAATGACATAGTAGCAAAATGATAATAATCCAATCATGAACACTAACCTATAGTGAATGCTTACTAAGTGCTATGGATTGAATGTTTGTATCCCCTCAAAACGTATACGTTGAAGTCCTAGCCCCCACTGTGATGGTATTCAGAGATGAGGCCTTTGAGGGATAATTGGATGATATTATGAGGGTTGAACCCCCAGGATAGGATTAGTGGCCTTATAAGAAGAGGAAGAGAGAGGGAAACAGCGTCCTCTCTCTCCATTTGAGCATAGAAGGAAGGTCATGTGAGGACACAGCAAGTTTGCAGTCATCTGCAAGCCAGGAAGTGAACCCTCACCGGAGAGCATCTTGACTTTGGATTTCCCAGCCTCCAGAAATGAATACAATTGTATTCGTTTAAAGCACCCAGTCTATGCTATCTTGGTACGGCATCCCAAGCTCACTAAGGCACTACGTGCCAGGCCTGGTGCTATATACCTCCCAGGCATTGGCTGATGTGATTTTTATGTACATTAGCAAGCTAAAATTACTAATAATATAACCACTTTACAAATGAAGAAACTGAGCCTCACGGAGGTCAAGTAACTTTCCGAGGTGCCTATAATGGTTCTGAAGTCATCTCGTATTTACTTTTATTTCAAGTCCAGACAAATCCGTGTAAAGCTTTAGCAGTATATACGTGTCCAATAGCAGCAGCTAAAGAGCCATCAGAAGCATTCCATGTACTTGCCAATGCTGCCAACAAGTGTTGACAGCTATATTAAACTATTACCTGCATCTGAAACGATGCTATTATTTTTATGGGTATAATTAGGTTCTGTGTACAAAACAGATACATCTGTGGCTATTTCCTATTTTTATCTGCAAAATCTTGCTCATTTGGATTCGTGTAGCACAAACAAGATGGTCTGAAAAACATGCAAATGCACATCGAAAAGGGACTTCTGCATGTGCAGGAAACCAGAATTCTAATCCTTTCCTGTCCAGATTATTTGACCTTGGGTAGGTCACTAGATCTCTTAGGACACAGTGGTCTGTGGGAAAAAGGAAAATGATCTTTAAACTTCTTTCCGGATTTAACACTCTCTGATTTTATGTTCTCAGAGGCAGCCTTAGCAAGAAATCCCATCATCTCAGCTGACAAAATGTTTGATCTTGTTAAATTAAACCCAAATTAGGCCTTTAGGTGCCTCTGTAGTTGAGTCGTTATATAAAGAACTGCAATCTAACTTCATATGTAAACTAACTGGAACCCTAACCTAGGAGTATGCTCTTCTAACAAATAGCTTAGTCTCAGCCAATCACAACAGCTGAGCATCAGCCAATCATAGGTGGCCAGCTAATTTCAATAAGCCAGCTGTAACCAATTAAGTGGTCTCTGTACCTCTGTATGTCACCACCGTTATAGGTCCATAAATGTTGTCTGACCACATTGCAGCTCTGGAGTTCCTTGAACCTTGTTCCTGTTCTGGGGAGCTGCCAGATTCTAGAATCCTGAATAACAGCCAATTAAGAACTGTAAACTAAATTTGTCACAATCTTGTCTTTAGTCAATTCTTATAACAAGTTAAGGTCTTGCCACATAATTACTTTGAATTTTGATTCCTAACTTCAAAAAACAAAAGAATAGGGAAAAAAAAGAAAGAAAGAAAGAAAAGAGTTCAATTATGTGTGCTCTGGTGTTATTGGACTATAGAGCTTAAAAAAAGAGAAAGAACGAGAAAAAGAGAATGTGCAGACATTGATCAGTTAATACAATCTGTCCTTTTAGCAAATGTAAAATAATTAGCTGTATTGGTCATGGCTCATTTAGTTACAAGTGACAGAAACCCACCTCAACATGGATAAAACAAACAAACAACAACAACAACAAAAAGTCATAGATTCACAGGAATAAAAACTTCATGGGTGAGTGTGGCTTCAGGCAAAGACCCCTACTAGCAGATCCAGGCTTGCATTCACTCTGTCTTCCAAAAAAAAAAAAGCCCCAGAATTAAATCTCATTGGCTGAAAGGGGTCATGGACCTGTATCAGAATCAATCCTATAGCCAAGACAGATCATGTGTCTATGCTTGGAATCAGAGATGAAGGCAAACTCATTCTTAGCCATCTAGAAACTATGAAGAAAATCTAAGGAAAATCACCAGGTGAAGGGAGAATGGATATTTGGCAAGCAAAACCAGTAGTCATCCACCTCATTAAAGGAGATATTAACAATAGTTACATAATGACAAATGACTAAGTGGTTTCCCCCATCTTACTAAAGATAATATAATAATACCTATAAATTATTAAGCATTCCTTACATGCCAGAGGCTGTTCTAAATGCTTTACACACATTATCTACTTTTTTTCCCGTACAGATAAAGGAACAGAAGCTCAAAGAATTGTCATTTGCATCAGAATCCTAAAAGCAAGCAAAAGACAGAGGTAAGATGCAATATAGATTTATCTGATTGCCAAGTTCATGTGTTTAAGAGTTTTAACCACTATATTGCTTTTCTAAGAACTATCTTGATATTTTATTTTCAGAGACTACAAGAAAATAGAAGCTGCAAAGAAAAACAAATTCACAATGTAGCCTCAAAAAACAAAGGTTGTTGCAACAACAAAAGAGTTAAATAGAATATGATTTCCTAATGTCAAGAATGGGCCTGTAATATAATCAGTATTCACAATATTTTAAGCAATTCAGTTACTTTACCTCCAAAGTACCAGGGTGATCCAAAATTAATTTTCAACATACACACACACACACACGTTATATATGCCTTTGTTTGGGTGTAAAAACCAAATTACATTTCAATGTTTCCAAAAGTGTTAGCAACAATCAGAACATGTAAGCTTTCAAGAGCCATCCACAAGTCTCACTGGTTGTATCAGAATTAATACTTGTGTCAGTTACTAGTGCTATCAGAATTATTCCAAGGGATGCTGCTTGGGCTAGTGGGACATCATTAAACAGTCATTTGAAACTTGGCTGTTCATTTGCCTGCAACCCACCAACCTCTGCAGCCCATCATTCTTAAGTTACCACAATGGCATGACTCCCAGATAAACAATTTTCTAATAGGAGTTGGCAAACGATGACCCATGGGTCAAATTCGGCCTGCTGCCTGTTTTTGTACATGAAGTTTTATTAAAACACAGCCACACACATTCACTTACACATTGTCTATTGCTGCTGTCATACTACCGTGGCAGAGTTGAGCAGTTGTGACACGGATTGTCTGCCTAAACAGGTGGAAACTACTTACTATGGTAGCCCTTTATGGAAAAATGTTTTTAATCCCTTTTCTAGAATATGGAATACACATTGCAAGAAGGATTTGAAATGTTGAAAGGAAATTCTAAGAATCCAGAAATGTTTCTCCTATTTTGTAAATCATAGAGAAAGAAACTGATATTTTATGAACACAGATTGACCTGATTCTACGAAAGGAACATTACCTCATACCCCAATCCTAGCTTTAAAAATGGCAGTAATGAAGTATTTACCAGGTGAGCTGCTCCAGAACAAGTGAGAGTTCACCTGGATACCAAGATCATCCTTGCTTGATTTAGGGCCTATTACTTCTTTATATTTGGCTTCTATTTAAGTCTTCCAAAAAAGGGTTTACTGAGGATGGTTACACAGACCAGTGATCCCAGCTACTCAGGAGACAAAGATGGCAGAATGGTTCAAGCCCAAGTGTTTGAATCTAGCCTGGGCAACATAGCATGATTACGTCTCTAAAAAAATTTAAAAATAAAAATAAATAAATCCTTTATTTTTATTTAAAAAAAAAAGGAGTTAATGAGCTGGAATCTTTTCATTTGCACTCTTTGGGGGTACTGCCATTTGTGAGCTATGACAAGAACTCTTTTGCTTGAAAAGTTTCCTTAAAACCTTTTAAACCTTAAAACCTTCCTTAATGATTTCCATCTTGTTGGTTTCTACAAATCTTATTTTATTTCTTTTCCACTAAATCATGTTGAACCTACAGTCATATATAAATGAGACATGTTCAACCCTTAACAGGCATTCATAGCACCATGTGGCTACTGAGGGACTTTGTTTACCCACTTGTTTTTTTGAAAGATTAATTGAGCACTTGGCCATTATTGGTCTGTACCTGGAATTATTGCATTATATTTCAGCTGTTTTTCCTTAAACAGCTTGGGCTTTGGGTTACCCATTCTCAATAAAGAAGGTATTTGCTTAAGAGTAAAGCGTACTGTATTTTCCCTGACTCTGAATCTTACACTCAGACTGATTACTCTGACCTTACCTAACGGCATGGAGAGAGGAATATTTTGGATGCAAAATGCAATCCTGATCCTTCATCCTCAACTCTAGACTGCACAGGGAATCCTTGATTAAATTTCCAGCCATTACATGTTATTTATTAGGCATTAGAGTGTACCTCTGAGAAGTATCTCTAATGGCTTGCAAGTTGCTGGAGACATTTCGCTTGTGCTACTTAATAAACTAGTCATGTTCCATTGCACACCGTAAGGTTTCACTGTTAGCCACATAAACCTTAGAATTTTCATATTTTCAACAAATTCAAGAGTAAAGACATATTCACATATTACTCTTCAAAGAAGTGTACTCTTTCAAGCACACTTGTACTCGAAAGTGTACAGGACGCATACACCCAAAGTCAATACAAATATATTCCCCACCATTTTTTTTTTATTGTAAAGAGACTGTATGCCTATAAAAAAGAGAAAACAAATGACAATCTTTATAAAGTTTTAAAGTCAGAAAACAAAAAAATCTGTTGAAAAATAAAACAGAATTGTGATGAGAGAATCATAACTTGGAGTTAAGATCTTATTAAGAACAATTTTTTCATCACTGTCTGCCACTCCACTTATAGGGGAAGTTGGTTCTTTCTCCTCTCTAACACCCACATACTTCAGAAGAGCATTTGTGTATGCCCTCACATTTGTGATTTCCACTCCTGGGGTGTCAATTCTCTGGTACTGAAACTGCTAAAATGCAAATAGAAATGCTTCCACAACTCTTTTGGTTAAATGCATGTTGGTATGACTGCCTTAAGGCTTGTTTGAAAATACACTGAGTATGTTCAAAATATGAATTGTTTTTTTTTTTTTCCTTTACCCAGCATCCATCCAAGGAGAAGACCATGTCACCATGGAGTGATGATCTGCTCCAGCAGCCAGCATATGACCAACGAACTCATCCGAGTCAAGAACCTTAGGTTTTTCTCTACCACTTTTAGAAAATATGCATTCTCTTTCCACTGAGGATGCTGAGCTGTTAATACATAACCTGGAGCTATTGGTGTACTGACACAGGAGAGTCTCTGATCTCTATGTTAGGGATTTGGAATGATTTAACAAAATGGTAAATACTGTTTTATGTAGTACTAAAGCCAAAATACTCCAGCAAAACTATTTCTGCACTGTCGTGAGCCAGAGTGTCAGATATGTTAATGTTTATTTCACAATTTTGTCTTCATGATTAAATGCCTCTACCACTATTCCAATCAGAGCTTCCCATTCACTTTGCAGAGCTACTGATTGTCTTACTCTCTCTGGATGAACTGGCAGGGCAAGAAGCAGCCAAACCCCTAAGCAAGTCATTGCCAATCATGAAAAGCCATGGGCAGCAGCAGTGGGAATTATTATACACTTGTGTTTCCTTCAAGTCATGTGTCCCCCCCCAAGACTTAGTTTCCTCATCTGGAAAATGGAATAGTAATATCTACTAGAGAGATTCATAGTGAAAATTACAACCAATATAAAATATAAAATTTGCCTATGTGCTACCATAATACAATAGGCACTAATTAAAAAAAATAGCTAATACATTTTATATAAACAGATTTTAAATTTGTTTGTTGACTACATTTGCATTTGTCTGTAATTGCACATATTTAAGACAAACTGTTTTTTCCCCAAACAAAACATATACATGAGAGAATCTATGAATGGAAAAGCCTTGACTTTTCGGAAGTCTATACTGTTGTCATTGTTTTAATGCTGGAATTTCAGAAGAAGAATGCTTGGAGTCATGCAGATATCCAATGAACCCATCTTCCTAATCAGGTAATTTATTTATTACAAAGTGATTGAGTATTTACAGTGAAATTATTGGATTGCAGAGGGAGACATATAATTGGATTTGAGCAAGAATCTGAGGCTATAGTAGTTTCTTATGGGTAAATGCTGTGTATAAATTAAATAAGAGATTAATAATCTACTTAAATTATAATTTTTTAAGAACCTATTTGTGTCCTAATTTTGAAATTTTTACATGTTAATCACACTAATTACCAGTGTAATCATAAAAGCCACTGTGCTTTTATAAAAGCTGAAAGGTATCTAACAGACTTGCAAAATGTGTTAGCCTCACTGGAAAGCTAGTATTTGGCAGTCAATGGAAAAGCCAGAAAAGTTGTAAAAGCAAATATAGAGAGAAGTGCCTATGCATAAAATATTCAGCAAGATAATAAGGTAATATGACATTGGTGAACTGTATAAAGTGTAATGCAGAATACACATGAAAGAGAAGAACAAAAATATTTTAATGGGCTGAAGAGTTGTGACTTTGTTATGGCGAGAATACAATAAAAATCAATGAAGAAAAAAAATTGAACAAGGGTATAAAAGAGATACTATGGTTTTTTTTCCTGATAATAGAAATGGAAACTAAGTGTAAATTTCTTACTTCTTGTCTATGCCTCCTCTTCCTCTTTACCCAACCCAATCCCACAGCATAGCTTCTACCTTCTCTCTTTTATAATGCACCGTCTGAAATTGAAGTAAAATATATAAGCAGAAAAATGCAGAGGAATTTACTGTTATTGTTGAAGTCTATATATAAATGGACTTACACAGCAAGTATTCTTTCCTGGTTTCTTTTACTATGTATTAGGGTTATAAGATTTTTCTCTATGGTTACAAGTTGTGGTAGTTTTCATTGCTGTTTACGAATATACTACAAATCTCACTATTAAAATATTGCTGTTATACGTAGCCCAGAACAACCTTTTCTACACATTTCTTTTTGGAGTATATTGTAAGTAGAACTGGAATTGCTGAGTCAAAGCTATGTGAACTTTCATCTTTAGTTTTTCAAACTGATTATGCCTATTTACCCTACCACTAGCACAGCTTGGATGTTTCTATGAGTCCACAACCCTCTCAAATACTTGGGATCCCCATATTTGTTTTGTTTTTAAAATGTAGCCCTTTGTATTGTGGTATGATACACATGCAATAAAAAGCATAGATTGCAAGTGTTCAGTTCGACGAGTTTTGACAAACTTATTCACTCATGTAACTACTAAGCAAACCAAACTACAGTATAAGATCCCTCACCCCAGAAAGTACTCTTATGCCATTTTCCATTCAATTCTCTGCTCTCACCTGAAGTATTACTACTGATTATTACTGATTTTTATCACTATCCTGATTTAGTCCTTTTAGACATCAAGTAAGTTAAATCCTACAACATATGCTATTTTATGTCTGACTTCTTTTGCTTAACATTGTGTTCATAAGATTCATCCACAATATGACATATATCAATACCATTTATTTCTTTTTTATTGTCAATCAGTATTCCACTATGTGAATATACCACATATTATATATTCCATCCACCTGTTCACGAATATTTGAGTCTTTTAAAATTTGGGGTATTATGATGACCATGTGATGAATATTTTCATAAACTTTTTTCTAGACAAATATTTTTATTTATCTTGAGTAAATACCTAGGAATGAAATTCCTGGGATAGATGCATGTTTAACTTTTGAAGAAACTATCAAAACGTTTGCACAATTTTACATTCCCGCCAGAATTTATGAGAGTGATAGCAACTCCATATCCTTGCCAACATATAACATGTCACTCTTAATTTTATCCATTCCAGTGGGTATAAAATATTATATCATTGTGGTTTTAATTTGTGTTTTTCTGAGGATTAATGAAGTTGACCATTTTTTAACCTGCTTGCATTTATTGGTCATTCTTATACCTTCTTTTGAGAAGTATTTGTTCAAAAATTTGACCATTTGTGTTAGATTTTTTTTCTTTGTAACATTGACTTGCAGAAGCTCTTTAAATATTTTGGGGAAAAAATCCTTCTTCAATTTATGTATTGCAATTATTTTGGTTCAGTCTGAGGCTTGCCTATTTATTTTCTTAATAGTTTCTTTTGATAAGCAGTTTTATTTTTAATATTGATAAAGTAAACATTTTTTTTATTTTTCTAGTGACTAGTGCTTTTTTTGTTGTTTTGTCAAATAAGTCTTCAACTACTCAAGGTGACAAAGACATTGTTGTATGTTTTCCTCCAGAAGATTTATGGTTGTAGATTTTTCATGTAGGCCATGTGTCATTAATCTATTATATACCCAGACAACAAAATTGGGAATTATTTCATTTTTATACTTAAAATTATCCAGGACAGCATACAAAGCAAATACTGTATTATTCATTTTATTTTACAGATTTTCAAAATCATGACTAAAGTAGCATGACTAAAGGGAACAAGAATAAAGCTAATAAGTCAGATTTTGGACTGAAACTCATGTCTTGTTAATATCATTTATTTGTTTTTATAGTATATGACATTGTTATCTTTCAACCATCTCATCATCCTAACAATCTATTTCCTGAATATTAACAAAGATTAGCTACAATGTGAGAGTAAAAGTGAAGGAAGAAATTATGAGTATATAAAAAACATTATCGATCCTCAAAAATAGAAATCTAGGAAATAATGATATTGAAGAGAGAGCCAGGACTTGCTAACATATGGATAAGGGCTTAAAAACATTCATTCCTTTATTCATCATGTATGTATTTTATGTTCCTTCTATATTCCTGGCCTGTGTCAGAGCACTGGGAATGTAAATAAGATGAAATCCTAATTGGCCCCTGCTCTCCTGGAGTCAGAGAGCAGATGGATGAAACAGACCACATCCAAGTAAACACACACATGATATGAAAATCCCAACTCTGACATGTCCTATGTACAGGAGATACTTGTGTGTTAAAGAGTTCATAACAAGGCAATTTGGCATAATGAGGAAAACTAAGGAAAGTTCTCGGGGGGGAACAATACTTAAATGGCTATATGAGCAGGCTTAAAGGGGAATGGAAAAGTGTTCCAACGCAAAGGAAAATCATGTACAAAAATGCTATGAAGGTGGGAGTTTCTACGAAAAACATGTACGGGCTATGACAAGGTTGGTGAGTTGAGACTAGTTAGAGCAAGTGTTGGCTTGACTAAAGGTATGGCTGACTTTGATCTTTTCAAAGCTTAGATTCTTAAGATTGGTTGTTAATTTTTAAAAAGAGATTTATTCCCATTGTCTCCCAACATACAAGTTCGGAACCATTTTTTTTCCCACACCAGTTAGCTTCCTATTGTTTTTTAAAAAAAAATTCCATAGAGAAGAGATCCTTTTAGCAGAATATAACTTAAGAGTTAAAATGTTGGTTTTTTTTTCCTTTCTAATATCTAGTCTAAATTTCTCTTGCTTCAATTTAAGCTATTTTAAGATAATACCTTTTCAGTGCTAATCTTTCTGAGAATTACACAATTTAGATGTGGAAGAGATCATAAAGATATTCTAAAATAGTGCTTTAATTTTAAGGATGAAGAAACTAAGCCCCCCCCATTGTGATTTACACAGGGTTGCCTAGTTAAAATGGCAGAAATGACTAGTTATTTCTCAAAAAAAAAAAAAAAATTTTTTTTGCCAAACTAAATCCCAGTTTCTATATCCTACCATTATCTTGTCAATCCTTTAATCCTTTTCATTGACTCTGCAGTTTCCCCACATCTCTGTTAAGCTGTGGAGCTCAAAGCACGTCACAGAGAACCGTAATAACAGTGCGCTGAAATGAAGCACAGTAGGTTAGATTCCTGTAGAGTTTTTCACATTATATCCCTAAAATATCTGTGTCTCAATTTTACAAATGTATCTAGCACAGCCATTTGAATAAAACTGTAAATTTTATAACAGATAATGTAAAAACCTGTCACAATACAACTACAATCGACTCTGTAAACTCATATATATTGCGCAGTGTAGATTTGTCAAATAATTTATTTTTTAAATTAGGAAGTAGTCTAAACATTCCTTTTGAAAAGAGATCATAGATAAGGCAGCAACAAAGAGACATTTGTAATTAGGTAGCGAAAACCATCTGTTATTAAAGTAATTGTTGAAATTTCCTTTTCTTTGAATTAAGGTATATATTTTACCACAAAATGCCTAGTGTAACAGATTTATTGACTGCCTAGGAATTCACATTTGTTGTAGATTTATTTTCCCATTTTTCCCTTGCTCTTAAATCTTTTTCAGAATTAATTTTAGAGTCTAAATCTGCCTTGGTTTTTACCTGTCATCATTCGTTTATTCTTTGATAATGAAATGAATTAATAATTCTTAGCAATTATAAATGAAACCATCCTCCATCTATCATAAGCTAATTATACAGGAAAAATACTGCTTTTGAATAAAGTGTCACATAAGAGATAAAGTAACATAAAAAGCAAACGATTGCTGCTCCATATTGTGCATAAATTAACATATTTGTTATAGTGATATACACATATGATAAAAATTAAAGAGTACCTATAAATGTATAATGAAAAGCAATCATCCTCCCATTTTTGATGTTGATATCATTTTATCTTTATTTTTAGAACTTTAAGTAATATTATTAGAGGTCTACTTTTGCTTTCTCAACCTTAGCCAACATAGTGGTTTTTGTCAAGGTAAGATGAAGTTAACATACCTCTTGCCCTTCTAGTGGTTCTTCCCCCTCTACTTTTTTTTTTTTTTTTTTTCAGGCTAGAGTGAGTGCCGTGGCGTCAGCCTCGCTCACAGCAACCTCAGACTCCTGGGCTCAAGCAATCCTCCTGCCTCAGCCTCCCGAGTAGCTGGGACTACAGGCACGAGCCACCATGCCCGGCTGATTTTATATTATATATATTAGTTGGCCAATTAATTTCTTTCTATTTTTATGGTAGAGACGGGGTCTCGCTCAGGCTGGTTTTGAACGCCTGACCTTGAGCAATCCGCCCGCCTCGGCCTCCCAGAGTGCTAGGATTACAGGCGTGAGCCACCGCGCCCGGCCGCCCCTCTACTTTTAACTTTCTACCTTTTCTCAAATATGCCTATATTTTAATATTCTCTAGGCTGTTAAAATTAACATTGTATTCATAATTTTTTCCTGATTTTTGTATAGATTTATTTATAATGTTGAAAATCAATAAACTGTATTGACATTATTATAAAAATGCATCAACTTCATTTAAGCCTAGGCCAGATTGAGAACTCTCTACTGTATTGGTATAGAGTTTATTGGTCCAATATTCATCCAAAATTATGATCTCTGAGTGCTCTGAGATGAATATTTCTAGGTCAAATAGAATTGAGTTTCTTATACTCCTTTGCTTCAAATTATTCCATGTCTTGGTCTGATTCCTATTTGGATCAGGATTTTCTCATATATAACTTGGCTTTTCCTAGAATCTCTAGTTGCCTTTCTTTTTTCTTCCTGACCAAAAAATGAAACAACAAAAAGCTCTATATGTACATGTGTGTAATATATATATATATACTGCATGAGGTCTTTTCCCAAAAATATATAATTCTCAAAGTGCTATAAATCTGCTCCAATCTTGAGATTAGAGCCTCTGGTCAAAAAATATTAACCTAGAACTTCTCTGCTCTCATAGGTTTCATTCACACTTGTTTGGATCACATGAACTCTTGTTTCTCACATGAGCTCTGTTTTTTTGTTGGTTTGTTTGTTTTCTTCCTCATTTTCCTAGAGTATATCAAGAAAATTCCAAAGAAAAGACACACAAATGATAAATGTCAAAAGTCTTGAGCATTTCAAATGTCCCCAGTTGATTGATGGTTTTGGAGGTGTAGAATTCTAGATTTAATATATTTTTCTCCTCAGAATTGTAAAGGCATTTATTCACTAAATTTTAGCATTCTGTATTACCTGTCTACTTTTCCTTACTTTGTAAATATCCTATTTTGAGTTTTGGTATTTTTTCAACTTAACAGTTTTAGGATCTTTTCATTGTTCATGATATTACATAGATGTAAAGAGCTACAGCTCTTTTCGCCTTCATCAATGGACCCTTTCATTTAGAACATACATAGCTGCCTTCCATTCTGGAAGATCTTCCTGTGTAATTTCTTCGATAACTTCCTGTCCTTTAGTTTTTTTAACTCTCCTTCTAGGAGTGCTATTAGTCAGATGTTGAATATCCTGTAATAACTCTCTAATCCTCAAGTTTTAGAAAATATTTCTTATGATTAATTATTTGCTCTTTGTACTGGGATATAATATTTACATCAATTTCTAATTATTCAATTGATTTTTTAATTTTTAAAATCATATTCTTAATTGATGAGCTATTTTCATGATCCATAATTCTTCATATTTCATAGCTTATACTTCATGTTTTAGAAGTGCACGTTTTCTGATTACTCTGGAAGATTAAAATTACTTTTGGGTTTTTGTTTTGTTGTGTTTTGGTCATATCTCTGTTTTTTAAGGGATCATTTTGAAAGAATTATCTCTTTATCCTCCTGGGTCAGGTTTTCTTCAAAATTGGACTATCTTTTTCATACTGCTAGGTTTTTTTCCCTAAGTTTGGTATCCTTAGCTATTGTTTCTTATTGAATAATGAAGAGCTGGGGTGAATTTTAGGTAGCTTTTGTAGGTTTCTTTCACCTTTGAATATATTTGTCTTTTTTCTAATGGACTTTTTCTCATGGTGGCAAATCGGACCAGGAGCTCTGTGTTATCAACTAGAAGGTTTCAATTTAGGGTGATCAAGCAAGGAAATGCTTCAGGTCATGCCTGGTTTTTATCAAATAACAGAGTTAAAATGTGTTTTATCCTAGGGCATCACTACCTGTATAAAATGTCTTAGTTCTCCCAAGAAGCTGCATGAGATTCCTCTGTAGAAGACTCAATGGGTTGGTAATGGCTGTTTATATTTGGTTGCTTATTTCCTGGTTAAGCACTGATTGGTCCCTCTCTTTCCTTTACAGACTAAGTCAATCCCTCCATTCCTACCTTTGTTCTCATTATTTCTCTCTTTTCTTTCTTCCAATTGCAGTACCTTCCTGGGATTCTGGTTTGCAGGCTGAGTCTGACCTCTACTGGGGTCCTGTAGGGCCAGATTCACAGACTGAAATGCATTGATTATGCAAACAATATACTTTCTAGCTTCCGGAAATTTGTTAAGATCTCATTTATATTAATTCTCTCTGTCATTCTGAGATGATTATTATTTGTACTTCAATGCTATGATCATAATGGAGCCTCTGAGGAACGAGAGGTTAAAGTGTTCTAACCTTTAAAATTGAGATATAAACTAACCTCATTTAAGTTAACATTATTCAGTGAATTTTCTTTCTTTTGATAATATAGTTGAATTTCTTTCTTCTGGGTCAGGCATTGTGATTTCTGGGGATGCGCTTTATAATGTTGTTGTTACACATTACTCTTGAGTGGTTATTGTTGCTAACCTTTGTATTTTTAAGTGTCACTTGAGAGAAATAAAAGCACACATTAAGCAAAATCTTGAGTAAAATTGGTAAACCCTTATTATCTATAAATTAGCAGGTTCTTAGGATGTACTTGGGTTTACCATTAACCATATGGGCATTCAAAAAGAGTTTTATTCTTTCCTGAGCAATTGTATACCGTCATGTTTTTATATATAATTTTTAAACAATTTAATTTCATTTGGCTAACAGATCATTATTGTACACAATGGCAAATTGACAGAAAAAATAATCTATCTGGAGCAGATGCCATCAGGGCATTGTCCATGTCCCAATATTAATTCAGTGCTCACTGGCTCATCTTCCAACTTTCAGTGCCTGCACTGCTTTGCCTGAAGTTTTCTGTGGCAGGATGAAACCTGCTTTGCAGATTGTACAACAGGCCTGAGAATTAACAACCCCAGGTGCAGTCCTCAACCAATGATCAGCAGGTGGTAGAGTATAAATACCCCTCCTCTCTCCTACGTTATGCAGAATAACTGTGACGAATGGCTTCCAGAGCTTTTTAAGCTACTTATGCAGGTATCTGTCTTGAAAATGAAGCACTGATACTGTCTTCTCTTCTCTGCTTACTTTTCCTCTCCCTTACCTGGGATTACCTCCCAAATAATCTGCTTGACACAAATCCTTGAACAGGTTCTGCATCTGCAGCAAGCCAAATTGAAACAACCTCAAACAGAGAGAATGACTTTAATTGCTTCATATATTAAAACTATAAATGAAATTAGCCTGGTTGAGCAAGTTTTACTTGAAGCAAAATATTTGCATGTTGAAATAATCATTTTTTAAAAAATTCAATTTCATTCTACTTTTCACCTGAATGGTGAAATTTCTTTTTCTTTTCCAAAAATGATTATTAGAGATCAGAGGTAAAAGATAAAGACAGCTGTGCTACTCTTTTTAAATTAAAAAATTAACATATATTTTTAAAAACTAGTAAAGGGGTTCTGACTTCTGAGTTAAGGTAGAGGACTGCAAGTAAAACATAAAATTGTCATTCTCTAATGCACAAAAGAAAAACAAAAAAATACACAAGGAAAGGGAATAACCTAATAGAATAAGCATGAAAAACTTTTGAAAAGGGGAAAAAAAGAAAAAACAAAACAGAAGATTCTTTAGCGGATAATAGTGGCAATTGAGGATAAACCCCATGATTTCTAACAGTGATCTCATCTTGTACCGTGTTTCCCTGAAAATAAGACCTACCCATAAAATAAGCCCTACCAGGATTTCTAAGCATTTGTGCAATAGAAGCCCTACCCCGAAAATAAGACCTAGTGATGGGTGTGGCTACGCAGCTATCTGCACAACCCATGCATTTAGTGGCAGAGCAGTAAAGAAGAGCAGCCCTTCTCATCCGCCCCTCTCTAGCCATCTCTAGTGCTCGACATGAGAGATTGGGGTCAATGGTTCTAAAGGAAATAGAGTTGCAAGGAATTCAGGGTGGAATTCGGGATTTGGAGAATTATGATGATGTTTCAGAAGAAGACAACTTATGGCCGGGCGTGGTGGCTCATGCCTGTAATCCTAGCACCCTGGGAGGCCAAGGCAGGCAGATTGCTCAAGGTCAGGAGTTCGAGACCAGCCAGAGCAAGTGTGAGACCCCCGTCTCTACTATAAATAGAAAGAAATTAATTGGACAACTAAAATATATATATAAAAAAATTACCCAGGCATGGTGGCACATGCCTGTAGTCCCAGCTACTCGGGAGGCTGAGGCAGGAGGATCTCTTGAGCCTAGGAGATTGAGGTTGCTGTGAGCGAGGCTGACGCCACAGCACTTACTCTAGACTGGGCAACAAAGTGAGACTCTGTCTCAAAAAAAAAAAAAAAAGAAGAAGAAGAAGAAGACAACTTAACTATATTTGAATAAATGTAGATGGTTGTACTGTACTTAAAAAAAAAATAACACGTCCCTTGAAAATATGCCCTAGGGTGTCTTCTTGAGGAAAAATAAATATAAGACCCTGTCTTATTTTCGAGGAAACACTGTAGGAGCTCTATTAATGACTTAACAAAATCCCTTGACCACTGACTATTAATGCTTCCCCAATTCTGAAATGAGGCAAACTGAATGGGTGTCCATTTTCTTTTTCCTTCCGTACAGAAAAGTAATGGGATCTGAAGATGAACCCAAGGAAGAAGAAAAAGGGAATGACTCCATCAGCTCAAGTCTCCAGTGATACACAGTAGATTGAAGAAATATCTGCCCTTCATATAGACATAGCAAAACTTCGTTCAGGACTTTTTGCAAAATCTCAAAAGCAGGAGAATCTTGCCCCAACTGAGTTCTCCTCTCTCACCTCACCTCACATCCCTCATCCTACCATTCCATCTCAATCTGCAGAAACATGGGTAAAATATACAGTCTCCAACTCCACGTGTAGCTTGGGGAAAAAAGCAACTAGTGTCATATACTACAGGAGGACAGTCAGAATTCATTCACTCTATTTAAGAGCAAATGGAGCTATGAACTAACTTCTTTTGATCTAAGCATAAGCCATGTGCAAAGAAACAGAATAGCAATAATACAAATATACTATGAGATAGGGAAGGAAGGAAAGAAGGAGGGAAGGGAAAGAGGGAGGAGGGAAACATAATAAGGAAGAAAAGGAAGTAGAACATAACAGGAAAACAAGCAATTCAATTCAAAAAATATAAAAATTGCAATGAGAAAAAAATTACTCATAAATGTTTCACAATAGAGGACAAATTAATAAAAACATGAATTTGGTAAAACAACAAAACAATAAAATAAAACAACATTATGTGATGAAAATGATGAAAGTAGATACAGACACCCCACACCTAGAAATACACTAGTTAGTATCTCAAAGATAAAGAGATAATTCACTAAGCAGATAAAAGGGAAAACAAACAACCTATCAGGGAGAAATATCAGGCAGGCTGATTAGTAATGTCTCTGTGGTAAGAGTCAATGCCAGAAGGTAACAGAGCAATATCTACAAATGTCTGAGAGAAAGCAAATAGAAACTAAGAATATTATACCCAGTGAAAATGTCATTTAGGAATTTAAAACAAAAACAGTCCTGGGCAGGAGGAGATCTGTGCAAATACCCATGTCCTAATTATTTCTGGTGGGCAAACATGCTAAGATACAGGAATCTGACTATCCAATGCATTTCATAATCTATTTTTTAAACCTAAAGGTATCATTTATGAAATATTTATTTTAGCTTAGTAATGAGCAACAATCACCATCCTTCCTTTGAGTCTCATGACCATGAGGTCAACCAAATGCAAAAAAAGAGAAAAAAAAGAAATATCTTTTGCAATGAAGAAATACTTAATTGAAGTTCACTACTTTATTCAAATTTCAACTTTTATTATTTCTTAAAAAATGAATTTACTATTTCTTAATCATAATAGCAGTGATTACATTGCCTCTTTTATGTATGTTTGTCTATTGATCTATCATTTTTTCTACTTACCCTTTTTCTACGTGTAAAATACAAAAATAATAGTTTCCTAATGTTCATGGTATTGGATGAGGTTTATAGTTTATTTTATTTTTTTAATGCTCTTTTTTTTTATTTCGGCATATTATGGGGGTACAGATTTTAAGGTTTCAATAAATGCCCATTTTTCCCCCTCCCCCCACAAGTCTGAGTCTCCGTCATGACCATCCTCCAGATGGTGCACATCTCACTCATTATATATGTATATACCCGCCCCCCTCCCCTTTCCCACCTGCCCAATACCCTATTACTGTAGTACCTATGTGACCACTTAGGTGCTGTTCAGTTAATACCAATTTGCTGGTGAGTATATGTGGTGCTTGTTTTTCCATTTATAGTTTATTTTACTGTCATTGTTTTTTTAAGTTTTATCTTACAGTCACTTTAATTGTTGGGTTATTTTGTTCTTTCCACATGCAGGTGTAAGTTTAACGATTTCAGTAGAGTAATACCGAGATACAGAGGTGGGGGAAAGGAGAAAGGAATGAGGAAAGAAGGAGGAAGAAGAAAGGAAGGAGATGGTGGAAAAGAAGAAGAAAAGGAAGAAAAAAGGAGGTAAAGAATGAAAGCAAATAGGCAGAGATTTCCACAGCAGTGAATTTTGAGGGGGTGAAAATATGGACGCATGTTATTTTCTTATATAAACTTTTCCAAACTTTATAAATTATTCAGACCTTTATTTAAAATAAAATAAAATTCAACATTTTTGAAACTCTGCTTTCAGCAGCAAATTGTTTCCACAATTAAGCTTCTTAGAAGTTCAAGAAACAGTCATCTAGTTCCAAAAATATAGTAAAAGAGTCACTAAGCCAACTTATATTACAGCTGAAAAGGGGGTTAGGGAACAGAGAAGAAGTTGAGAAGAGTCAAACTGTATTTTGTTCCTCACACTATTTTTTTAATCACAAAATGTATTAAGGATGGGTTGTTCATTTAATAAAGAGCAACTTTTAATGCCAAAGAGTTATCAGCCGTCTTCTCGGCTGCCCATACTGATTCTGGTTTGCCCTCACTTCAACCAAGACATGGAATCAGCCTCTTTGCTGTTTTCCATAAGAAATCTGAAAGGCTGGGAGCCGTGAGTGCACGTCCTGATAATCCCTACACTCTGGGAGGCCCGAGGCGGGCGAATTGCTCGAGGTCAGGAGTTCGAAAGCAGCCTGAGCAAGGGCGAGACTCCGTCTCTACTATAAATAAAAAAAGAAATTAATTGGCCAACTAATACATATATAGAAAAAATTAGCGAGGCATGTGGCACATGCCTGTGGTCTCAGCTACTCTGGGGCTGAGGCAGGAGGATCGCTTGAGCCAGGAGTTTGAGGTTGCTGTGAGCTAGGCTGATGCCACGGCACTCACTCTAGCCTGGGCAAAAAAGGGAGACTCGAAGGAAGGAAGGAAGGAAGGAAGGAAGGAAGGAAGGAAGGAAGGAAGGAAGGAAGGAAGGAAGGAAGGAAGGAAATCTGAAAACGGCTATTTTGTTTCATAAAGATTTTTCAAATCTTTCCTAAGATTTGGGGTTTACTAGATAAGCTTGCATTACATTGTAGCATATTCCATTTGAAAAATGCCATTCAACCTCTCACCTCTCGAGAAAGTTCATTTGTTTCCTGCTTTTGGTGATAATTCTTTTTTAAAACCCCTTTTCCACAAGACAGTGCCTGGGGACTCCTGTATAAGCTTATGCTCTGAGATATTTCTCGGGCAATTAAAACCCCTCTCCTCCTTATAAAGCATGGCTGTTTAAACGTGGCCCGGGCCCTAGGGCCATGGTTCCCTGCCCAAGCCCCATCCATGCATGCCCATGGCTGCAATAAAAACCAGTTATGTATAAATTTATAACAGCAGCACTCTCATGCACTTGGAAATTTTTAATGTACAAAAAGAACAACTCTATTGATTCATTTTGATTTCCACATTGTGGTGGGAAAATTCTAAGAGGGCTCTGAAGATTCCCACCCCTCTGTATACTTGAGTCTGTAGAATCTGCTCCCCTTGGGCGTGGGTGTGGACCTGTGAATACCACGGAGTCATTCCCTCCGTTAGGTTGCACCCACCATATGACAAAGTTAATGTGATAATCACTCCCATGATTATACTATTATTAGTAAGATTCCGTCATAGGAGACTAAGCAGAGATTCTTCTGCAGGTTTTGAAGAAGGAAGTTGCTACGTTCCAGCAACACCACATGGCTAGGATTTGAGGGCAGCCTCTACTTACTGAGAATAAACCCCAGCCAAGCAAGGACATGGATCCCATTATACAACCTCAAGGAACTAAATGCTGCCACAAACTGCAGTATCCTTGGAAGAGGTCCTCAAACCTGAGATGAGATTGCAGCCCTAGCCCACACCTGGGTTTCAGTCTAGTGAGCCCCTGAACAGGGGACAATACCTGGACTCCTGCCCACAGACACTATGAGATGCCTAGTTTGTGATAATTTTTATACATCAATAGAAAACTAATATACTTTAGTAAATGAGCAAGAAGGACTAGACAAAAATCAGAATACAAAATACAAACAAGTGGACAAATATGTACAGAAAAAAATAAAATTTATATTAAAACAGAATATTTAAACAATGTTATCAAGCAACTAGAATGAATTAACATCCACTGAAGCCTGCAGTCATCAAGTACAGAATACAAAACTTTTTTAACATTCTCATGGGACATTCACTAAGATTTACCATGACTTAGACCATTAAGTGTCTGAATTAACTTAAAATAAATTTGGAAAGATCAACTTTAAAAACCAAAGGAAATTTTAAATTAAAATAATAAAAATAGAAAGAAATTTAATGAAGTAAATAACAGATAGGAAAATTAAATAATCTCCAAAATTAAATCTTTGAAAAGATGAATAAAATTGATAAACTCTTGGCATGATGGATAAAGAAACAGAAAATACAAGTGACCTAATTCATGAATATAAGAGGGGTCATCAGTATAGATCCTACGAATATGAAAAGAAGAATAAGGGAATACTATGAACAAAATCATGCTAATGAATTCAGAAACTTAGATGAAATTAATATATTTCTTGAAAAATAAAAATTGTAAAAAATGCCAAAAGAAGATATTAAAAATCTGAAGAGCTTTATATCCATTTAACATTGAGGTCATAATCAAATGCCATCTCACAAAAATTATGGGTTCAGACGCCTTCAGTAGTGAATTCTATCAAACATTTATGAAAGAAATAAACCAATCTTAGAAAACACTTTCAAATTAAAAGTAAGAAGAAACCCACCCAACTTGATTTATAAGACTAGCATAATCCCAACATTAAAACCTGACAAGGAAAATACAGGAAAATAAAAGTAAAAAAAAATTACTCATTATCATAAACACAAAATGCTTAAGGCAATACTAGCAAATAGCATCTAACGATATATATATATATAAATGTATCGTAAACACATGGAGATTATCCCAGGAAAACAAGGTTAATTTAACAATGGAAAGTCAATCAGTATAAATGACAATGTTAACAGATAAAAGAAGAAAAATATATTAACACTATAATAATTAGAATGATAAAAACCTTTAGCAAATTAGAAATAAAAGGAAACTTCTTCAACCTGATAGAAAGCACTGATAAAAACCCCAAACCTTTACTTACTGATAAAATATTGAAAACTTTGTCTCTAAGGTTGCAAACAAGGCCAAAAAGCCTAGCTACTAAAGTAAAACAAGGGAAAAAAAAAGAAAGAAAAAGAAAAGCAGAAAGAGTGAAAAGAAGAAAATAAAATTTCTATTATTTCTATGCAATATAATTTTGTGCACATAAAACATCAAGAATTTTCAAAATATATGCCAGGATTAGTCAATTTAGCAAAGCAAAAGAATACAAAGTCAATGACCAAAATTCCATCTAGTTCTATATATTATTCAATAACAATGGAAATAAAATTTAACAATAACTTTTATGTCAAAATATTAAATAGCTAGAAATAAATCAAATAAGGTCTCTACACTGAAAACTACAAAATATTGTTTAGAGAAACCAAAGATGATCTAAGTAAATGGAGAAATTACCATGAATTATATGACAACAACATCTATTCTCATCAAAACCGACAATAGAGTAACCTAAATTCTAATAATAAAACACAGCAGGATTTTTAAGGAAATTGACAAACTAGTTCTAAAATGTATAATTAAATGCCAACAATCTTTTTTAATCAAAGTAACCTTGAAAGAGAAGTATAAGACTGTATGTAAAGCCATAGTGATGATTATAATATTCTACTGGCATAAATATAAATAAATAGATTGATAGAACAGAACAGAGAGTTCAGAGATACACATATTTGGCCAATTGATTTTTACCAAAGAAAATAAAACCTTTTAATAAATGCTGACAAAAAAGCTAAGTATCTGTTAAGAAGAAAAAAAATGAACATCGACCACAACCTAACACCTTACATAAAAAAATTAAGAAGAATCATTGATCTAATTGCAAAATCTAAAATCATAAAGCCTCTTAAAAATGTCTTTATTATCTCTTAGGACATATAAAACGCCAACAATAAAGGTTTTTTAAATGGACATATTGGAATTCATCAAGTTGCACAATTAAGAAAATAAAAATATAAGCTACAGGATCAGGGAAGATATTTGCAGTAAATGCATCTGACGAAAGACTTATATCCACAAAATATATATATTTAAAACTGCTACAAATCAATACTAAAAAATAGCCCCACAAAAAAGTACAAAGGTCTAAATAGACACTCACAATAAAAGATATGAAATTGGTGAATAAGTACAAGAAAAGTTTTTCAACATCATTAGTTATCAAGCGAACACAAAATGAAACCAAAGCTAGCTTTCATTTTATATCCACTAGAATAATGAAATTTAAAATGACTTACAATAAGATGTTGGTAAGCAAGTGAAGTAACTGAAACTTTCATACAATTTGGTGGGAACATAAAATATCATTACAACAACTTAGGATTCATGTTTGGCAGTTTCTGATAAAGTAAAACATATCAATACTCTAATACATAGCAATTCCACACTTAGCTATTTACTCAGGACATATGAAAAAATGTATCTAAAAATGAATTGCTTAAGCATGTTCTTAACAAGTTTGTTTATAATGCTGTTAAACTAAAATTATAATATTGTTAAATAAAAAAATATTCAATAGTCCAGGAGCGGTGGCTCACACCTGTAATCCTCGCACTCTGGGAGGCCGAGGCGGGTGGATTGCTTGAGGTCAGGAGTTTGAAACCAGCCTGAGCAAGAGCGAGACCCCGTCTCTACTATAAATAGAAATAAATTAATTGGCTAACTAAAAAAGAAAAAAATTAGCCGGGCATGGTGGCTCATGCCTGTAGTCACAGCTACTCGGGAGGCTGAAGCAGGAGGATTGCTTGAGCCCAGGAGTTTGAGGTTGCTGTGAGTTAGGCTGACGCCATGGCACTCACTCTAGCCTGGGCAACAAAGTGAGACTCTATCTCAAAAAAAAAAAAAAAAAAAAAAAAGTATTCAATAATACTTGTTAAAGTACAGCAAGAACCAGACCCCATCTCTACTAAAAAATAGCTGGGTATGGTGGTAAGCCCCTGTAGTACCAGCTACTCAGGAGGTTGAGACAGGAGGATAGGTTGAGCCCAGTAGTTTGAGGTTGCAGTGAGCTATGATCCTGCTGCTGTACTCTAGTCTGGTGGACAGAGCAAGACTCTGTCTCAAAAAAAAAAAAAAAGCACAGCAAGGCAGGATTTATTCAGGACTATTTTGATAAGTATAGGGACCACTGCAATGAGTTCTTGCAGCTGGAGGAGAGAGATTGGGCTCAACTCTGAATACAGCATGGGAAAGTGAGAATTTATAGCAAAGGAGCAGGGTGGGGGTCAGTGGTTGGAAAATTATTAAGAGGAAACATCAGTACTAAGGGGGATTCTGGCTAAGCCCACCTAACCGGATTTGTGCTGAAAACAGGCCAGGATGATCAGATCATCACCTGGGGTTGGCAGAGGATGAAGAATCTGATCTGAAATCAAGAATGGTCAAATATCAAGGATGGGGTATTCATGCTAAACTGACTTAGCAGAATTCTTTGATAGAACTATTTTTTTTTAATTTCAGAATATTACAGGGGTACAAATGTTTTGGTTACATGGTTTGCTATTGTACTGCCTGAGACTGTTATTAAGTGCGCCCATTTCCCAGATAGTGTGCATTGTACCCATTAGGTATGATTCCACCCCTCCCTTTCCTCCCCCACCCCCCTGTTTGATTTCCATTGACTTTTACTTCCTATTGTGCACATGATTGCTATTTGGTTGGTTCCAATTTAATAGTGAGTACATGTGGTGTTTCTTTTTCTATTGTGATACTTCACTTAGGAGAATGGTCTCCGGTTACAACCAGATTGTTAAAAAATGTATTAATTCATTTTTATGGCTGAGTAGTACTCTGTGTTTATGTATACCATATTTTGTTAATCTACTCATGAATTGATGGGCACTTGGGTTGATTCCACATCTTTGCAATTGTGAATTGTTCTGCTATAAACATTTGAGTGCAGATGTCTTTTTGATAAAATGACTTCTTTTCCTTTGAGTAAATAGCCAGTAGTGGGATTGCTGGGTCAAATGGTAGGTCTAATTTTAGTTCTTTGGGGAATCTCCATCTATTTTCCATGGAGGCTGTAGCAGTTTGCAATCCTACCAACAGTGTTTAAGTGTTCCTTTCTTTCTGCATCCATACTACCATCTATTGTTTTGAGACTTTTTGATAAAAGTCATTCTCATTGGGCTTAGGTGATATCTCACTGTGGTTTTGATTGGTATTCCCCATATGATTAATGATGTTGAACACTTTTTCATATGTTTATTGGCCATGTGTCTATTTCCTTTTGAAAAGGTTCTGTTCATGTCTTTTGTACACTTTTTAATGGGGTTGTTTGATTTTTTTTTTCTTGCTGATTTGCTTGAGTTCTTTGTAGATTCTGGTTATTAGCCCTTTACTGGATGTATAGCATGTGAATACTTTGTAAAGAAGTGCATGGACGGGCCTAGCAGAAGATTTGGAAGGTGGACTAAAGTCTGAACAAGCCAAGAATCTTCGTCAATAGTCAAAAACTAGAAACAACCCAAATATCTTCCTTAGGAGAATGCTATAAACAACTTGTAGTACATTCATATGATAAAATACCAGTGGGCAATAAAAAGGAACAAAGTATTCATATGTGCAGCTACATGGATGGATCTCAACATTATGCTGTATGAAAGAAGCCAGACACACAAAAAAAAATACATGCTCCATGTGAAGCCATTCATATGAACTCAAAGAACTGGCACAACTAATTTGCGATGATAGAAATCAGAATATGTAGAGTCACTGAGGGCATTGGCTGAAAAGGGACAGGAGGATAATCAAAAACTTCTTTCCCCTCAGATGCACGCAAAAGTTAAAATTTATCACAATGAACATTTGAGATCTGTGCCTTTTATTACGTGTGAGTTATAACTCAATTTAAAAATGCAAATTGGAATTCTTTCACAAATATTCCAGATGCATCGTTATTTTTTAAAGTTCCATTATTAATTTCAT